AAAAGAAAACAAAAGAAACAGGGGATGAACTTGAGAGAGAGGGAGAGAGAGAGAGAGGGGGGGGGGGTAAGAGCCCGAGAGAAAGGGGGTGAGTAAGAAAGAGGGGGTATGTTTGGTGGAGTCGCCACGTCGAGGGAGCAAGAAAGATACGCATAGATATAATATATATTATAATGTCTGGCTACACCATTATCTCGGGCACATGTAGCGGGAGGCGGGCACATCTACAGGGAGGTGATTGTTAGACAACGTAAAACACGTAGAATCCAAAGAAAATCCATGAAAAGAAGATAAATTGATATTTATGAAACTCATTTGTATCTTAGGAGCTTTATTATATTCATGACATGTCGGAAATTCAATATACAACACTGGTTGTATGCCTCAATACATTTCCCCTATCTCGGGCACATGTAGCGGGAGGCGGGCACATCTACAGGGAGGTGGTTGTTTGACAACGTAAAACACGTAGAATCCAAAGAAAATCCATGAAAAGAAGATAAATTGATATTTGTGAAACTCAATTGTACCTTAGGAAGCTTTATTATATCCATGACATGACGGAAATTCAATATACAACACTAGTTGTATGCCTCACTACATTCCCCCTATCTCGGGCACATGTAGCGGGAGGCGGGCACATCTACAGGGAGGTGCATGTTTTGATGACTTAAAACACGTAAAATCCAACGAAAATCAATGAAAAGAAGATAAATTGATATTTATGAAACTCATTTGTATCTTAGGAAGCTTTATTATATTCATGACATGTCGGAAATTCAATATACAACACTAAGTTGTATATGCCTTACTACATATCCCCTATCTCGGGCACATGTAGCGGGAGGCGGGCACATCTACAGGGAGGTGGTTGTTAACTTGTTTGACAACGTAAAACACGTAGAATCCAAAGAAAATCCATGAAAAGAAGATAAATTGATATTTGTGAAACTCATATATAAGGGAGCTTTAATGTTACATCCGTAAACTCTCGGATATTGAATATAGAATACTATTTTATTACACTAACTCGATCCCTATCTCGATCGGGCACATGTACAGGTAGGCGGGCACATCTACAGGCAGGGCTAGGTGGTTTTAGCCGACGACCGATCGAGAGTTGGTCACTTGTTTTTTGGAGTTAAAAAACTACCAAAAGAATCGCCAATTTTGTATAAACTGTATCAAAAATGTATCAAAATCCACACTAAATAAATTTACGTATCACTCAAACACTTCTACCTCATAATCACGGACAATACAAATGTATAGTGGTAAGATTTTGCCCTGATTTGTGTTGCACGTATTACCTTCATTGAACAGTCATGACCCCAATTCTGCACGTACGTACGTACGATCGTACGCGCGCAGTCAAGAACATCAATATTCATGAATTGACACGACGTCACTGATATGCATATTCATTGACCTCCTTGTAGATGTGCCCGATTAGAGGCTACCGATAAAAATAGGGTCGGGCGGGTTACGCCAAGTCATCAATTTTTTTTTTTAGGCCTAATGTACAACATTTGCTCTGGCGACAACCAAAAGTAAAATGTAAAGGTTAGAGCTTTAATTGGGGTTTTATGTTAGGTTTAGGGTTTATCATAAATGAACTTTTAAGACTTGAATATAGACTTTTAATGGGTTTTTCTATGTAAATCTTAGATATAATATGTTGGCTGGGAATACGGAGGAACCTTCTTTTTCAGGGAGAAAAAAGGAAGAAAAAAGGAAGGAAAAAAGGAAGGAAAAAAGGAAGGAAAAAAGGAAGAAAAAAGGAAGAAAAAAGGAGCCAATCTGAGTCAGAACAAACTGTTTGACACTCAGGGAGATGTGAGTTGGACTAGCTCTATTATGTATGTGTATGTCCATGGTACAGTCAACTCTCTGTCTTCGCCTACAAACCAACTCTGATCAGACTCAGGTTCGAAACAGAGTCACATCTTTTGGATGGTGACTTTAATGGTTGGTCCCAGACATAAATAACCTTATCAGATTGATACACGTCTGTCAAAACCCGACCACATAGTCACCCTTCATCTTTTTTTAATGGGTATTAGTGCAGTCCCTGAATATAATATAGATATCAAATCCTGATTGTACATGTACAGTTGTACATCATGGGTAAAAAGAGGTTAATTAATTTTTGTACAAAAGAAGAGAGGGACAGAGAGAGAGAGAGACAGAGAGATCATCAAATTATAAAATCTCCCTGGATATCGTATTTCCTTGAAAACTGGAACAAATCATATGCACACGTGACAGCAACAAAAAGGCATCAAGGATGAAACTTTCAAGCTGTGATCATTAATTTGCATGACCATCCCCAGATCAATCATTCTAATTGAGTGGCAGACAAAAAATGAGATATATCAATAAATGAATATATAGACATTTAGAAAAGTACGTGCTTTTAATGGCCTTGGTTACCAACAGACTAGCTGTAAATATTGTGTACGCGTTACCCTGTTGGACTGATGCCCATTTAATAAACCCATAATTATAATGTAATTCATAGTCAGGAATGCGATACTAAATTGTCTGTCATTACGACATTTACAATGATGGTTAAAATGAAGTATGAATCTTCATAACAATGGAAAAGAGAAGAACTGACCTCTGCCTCCTGACTCTATTCTTAATTTCTTGATTTTGCTCTCTCTCTCTCTGTATTTCATCCTTCTTTATTTTCCTTTTCTTCTTCTTCCCGCTCCCTCTTCCTCTTCTCCTTCTTCTTTCTGCCACTGCTGTTAATGGCCCTACATGTACATTCACAACCTACTCCAGCACTCTCTTTATTACCACAATATCGTTCTTCCTTTTCTCCAATTTGGAGAAGATGTGATAAACAAAATCATCTCTACATTTAATATAAAACATAGGAGATAAATATATCATACCTGTGTACATGTGTATGTAGTAGTAGTAGTAGTAGTAGAAGTAGAAGTAGTGGTAACATAAGAAATCATAGTGGTAATAGTAGTAGTAGCAGTAGTAGTAGAAGTACAATGTAGCAGTAGTAGCAGTAGTAGTAATAGTAGTAGTAGTAGTAGTAGTAGTAGTAGTAGTAGTAGTAGTAGTAGTAGTAGTAGTAGTAACAATAATAATAATAATAATAATAACATTACAAATAACAATAATAACAATAACAATATAATAATACTGATAATGATAATCCAATTATCATTTGTGCCAAGGAGCATTTTTAATATGCCAAGGAGCATGGGTTTCATGTACTTGTATTTTCCAACTAATGCTGGAAACAATAACAAGGCACTCAAGCATTTCAAAGAATTTCTCCAAACATGCCTGCAGGTACATGTAGATCACACATGAAGTCCCATTAGCCTTTAGCGTCAAAACATATCATTCACTGCATTCCAGAGATCCACATACCATTCCAAAACCACTCAAATGTGGTCTGTTTTTCTGTGTGATTCCTTCCCACACACATGCCGCAAGATACAATTTCCATAATCATACAATTTGTATGATCTATATTGGCTTCAATCCAAGTGATTTGTTTTATAGGTGCTCCAACGATTCTGCATCAAGTGTTTTTTTTCTGTCAAAAGCTATACCATACCTGCCAACATTTGAAAATGAGAATTAAGAATTTTTAGCACGGTATGTCTTCGAAAATAAGAAATCTGTACCCTTAACAGGAATTCGCACATGCAGCGGCAGTGTAACTGGCAATACGCGGTAAATCTGTGCAAAAAAGCGAATATAAATTCACTGCTCATTCATGCAGCCCTTCAACGCACACAATACCTGAACTCTTACATCGCAGCATATGATAAAACAAGCTTAATTTGGCTTAAGCAACAAAAAAACAAAAAAAAAAAAAAAAAAAAAAAAAAAAAAAAAAAAATCGAAATTTTGAAAATCCGGAATCTCCCGCATTTTGGGGTCCTAAAAATCCAGAAAAACAGGATATTCTGGATTATTCGGGATGGTTGGCAGGTATGCTATACATACATTGTACATGCATGTCAGAAACCACACTTATAATTGGAAGAATATGACATCTACAGTCATGTACATGTCAAATTGTACGTGTAAATTATGTCAAAATCCAATATTGATTTAAATTAATGGTTTCTTGAGGTTATTTCTGGCTGTCTGCATATTCACATCTATTGCTGTTGCAGATTATGTTCCCTCATTTATTCAACACTCTTTCTCTCCCCCACTCTTTTGTTCTTATTTCTCGCTTTTCCCTCTCTATCTCTCTCTCTCTCTCTCTGACATTTCTCTACATTGAGTATCTCTCTCTCTCTCTCTCTCTCTCTCTCTTCTCTCTTTCTCTTTCTTTCTCTCTATTTCTATATCTACTTCTATTTCCATTTCTATTTCTATCCCTCTTTCCATATTTATCATTCTCTTTTCTTTCTATTATATCTTTCTCTCTATCTATATCAGTACCTTCCTCTTGTTTCCTCTTCCTTATAGTATCATTCTTTTTTTTCTCAAATATTTTAAAATAATTCAAGTTTTCCAAGTTTGACATTTCTACTACTACAAAATCATAAACATCATTTTTAATTTGCCATATATACATTCCCTTTAGGAATTTTATTTGTCATGAAAGGTGTTGTAACGATTCAAGCTCTATTTGCTTATGATTCATCATCTTGTGTGTTCATTCTTTTAACTCAATCAACTGTATAATAGTTGCAACTTGTCTTTGATAAAATCATTGTTATATTCTTTTTCATGTGAAGTCAATTCAAATGGATTGTACATTGAAAATGATTTGTTATATTATATACTTTTTCATGTGATGTTAACTCCAATGAAATGTGAAATAAATAAATAAATAAATAAATAAATAAATAAATAAATAAATAAATAAATAAATAAATAAATAAATAAATAACTAAATAAATAAATAAATATTCAAATAATAATAATATTATTTAATTTTTATATAGCGCTTAATACAAATGTCTCTAATCGCTTTACAATTCAACCTTCCAAGTCCCAGGTCTCACCTCAATCTTTGCACTTGTCTCCTGCTTGGCTTGATGATTGAGCATCCGGAGCTCCTGGTTCTCCTCCAGGAGGGCATTACCAAACTCTCCTGCCATCTTGAGCTTCTCCTCCATCTCAGCCAGCTGGTGGTAGACGTCATCTTCCATGATTAGGGTGTGGTCACCATCGGGGTCATCCAGGAACCTACTGTTAATCAAAGGTCACATTCATTAAAGGTGACATTTATGATCAGTCCAACTACATTCAAATGATGTGTAAATAAGGACTAGGCATTGTGGAGTGCGCCTGTAATCTAGCTAAAAGTGGAAGTTACAAACTGATTCAGCCGAGGACGCAGGGTCGAAACTGAGCCACGTCTTCTATACGGATGGTGACGTTTAAAGGTCGGTCCCCAGACGTATATCTGATTGATACACGTCTGTAAAAACCCAATGTACATACTGTACATTTGCATGAAAAACAAAACATTCTAATAAATGGTTCAAACCAATAAGACCACAATCACTGTATATTCACGCCAATTATTAGAATGTACATGTATAATGTTGCCAAAAAGTTGGAATGATTTTTCTTTTCCTCTTTTAAAGAAATGATTGTGACAAAATGAGTTATTCATGAGTTATTTCATGATAAGGAAAAATGAGTTATTCTTGATAGAAAAGTTTATAGATTCTTAGAACTTTATTGACCAATCATCAATCTGAAGAGTCATAGGGATTGATCAACAAAGTTCTGAGAAAATATAAACTTTATTTATGAAGGATAGAATATATTTTCACAATGATTTCATGCAAAGAGGTCAGAAACATATATATTGCAACTGTATGGGCCATGGTGTACATGATGAAGCAAAACAATAGGGTGTTGTGTTTTTTTTTTTGGGGGGGGGGGGGTTCCATCAAATTTGTGCACAATAAATTTAAAAGACACCATTTGATTAACTGATATAAATGCAGCTCAAGAAATGTTAATGTAATAGCGATTCAAATCTGAGTGTCAACATGGGCAGTAGTATGTCAGTTCAATTTACATCGAGAACTATTCTAGCGAAAAGTGTAAATCAATAAAACCACAGATTACTGTCTGTGCATGATGAAGCAGGGTATTGTGTTTCTACTGGGATTAAATGTGTGCACATAATTCATTTGAAAAACAAACCACTGGATTCAGCCATCCGTCAATGATTTGTGTGTATTACAGTGTACAAACACGTTTCAATTTGTTATTGCTGCCAAAGATGGTCAAACTTGGCAACATTTTCAAAAGTTTTTACATGCATTTTCCTATTAATTCATGAACATGTCCTTTGCATATCTAGCAATAACCATAGTAAATAAGTTTTTAGGTATCAATTTTTTTTTTAAGGTTCGATTTGTTGAATACAGAAAACGGGACAGTGTTGAATAAGTGTGGAGTTTTAAAATAGAGTTTCTGGCTTAATATATTCAGACAACTGCAGACAGAACTACTTAAATAATCTGGCCTCTTATTAGTCCAAAATTATTCCATGTAATTAAGGAAATTTCTACGGTGTCAGGCCCCTCCCTGTCCTCCTTCCTCCCCCTCCTCCCCCCATCCAAGCCCCCCCCCCCCCCCCCATAAGGCTTCTTAACCTTTTGCCTACTGGAACCTGGTGGTTCCTGTACTAAACCTATGGAAATGACAGAATTCAGTAGTCAATGGGTTCAAAATTACTGTACCTTAAATCAGGCTCCCCTTCGTCTTCTTCGTCAATGGCGAGCGAGGTCGCAGTACGGCTTGACCCGCTCAAAATATTCTCGTCGGGTGTGCCATCCCACGACAGGTCACTCATAACAGACTCATTGTCGCCGCCGTCGGCTGACGAGCCTTGGTACGACTGAATGGAGTGTGGCATGTCGATGGGAGGACTGGGTTCACGCGCTACCGCCATCTTGGATCCATAAAGAGGTGGCATCAGGAGGGGTAGACATCTTGGGGCCTAACTTACAATCCAGTGTTGGTAACTATCTATGGTGACCAATGGATGTGCTCAAAATACATGGTCCAGTTTCTACATTAAGTTGCCCTAAATATATCCAATGCCTGAATGTGTAAACTTTTTAAATCTTGAATTTTTATATGAGGAACTACAATCTCCACAAGCTCAATTCAAGGCAAGAATTGTACTGGTATTTTTCATATTCATAAGTTACAGAGAGATGAATATATATTTTCTGTTTTGGAATTTATAGCACATACATGCGGCAATTTCAACAATCTATAGCTGGACAAGGATTTTACAATGTTCAACAAAGAACTTTACATGGAATTTCTAAATTCATGTACATGTATCTACAAATGTACAGTATTTTGCTTGCGTGACTCCTACATAATTTTATTCTCTGGTCTCTCCACTGTGCAATCTGTAACAAGAGACAAGAAGATAAAAAAACACTCTCATTAATATTAGAGGACATGTTAGCATAGCCGTGACTCAGGTTTTGAGGGACGAATAAATAATGATTGTTTAATGTTCATCGTTGCAACCCAACATTGTAACTCCAAGGATAACTACAATTAGAAGGATGGTAAAGATCAAATTTTGTCAAAGTGACATTTTGGGGCTTTTTTTCCAAATAAGTTGGGGAGTATCAACATCTTAAAGTATTGGTTTATTGTACTTTCTCAGAATCTTCCAGGAAAGGGGTTTACAAGAATATGTACAAGAATATCCCCCAAACTGCTTTTTTTTTTCTTTTTCTTTTTTTCTTTTTTTTAAACTGAAATTCAGAATGTAATATTTATTACAGGTCGGTATTATAGACGACCGGTATAAGCAAGAAAATAAGAAATTGGAATTCTAGTGTTATGGTCAAATATTTGTGCATGAATAATAATATTACAAAGCAATCGATAATCATAGATGGGCTTGGTTAATATTAAAACTATTTTCAGTTCAATTCATGCATGTACATGTACGTGCATGGCCTCCTTTGTTATTAAAAGGCATTATTCTTTAAACCTTATGTACCATTACACATTCTTGTATCAAATGTTTTGGTGATACAGCATTGTACTTTGTAACTGTCCAATGCTATTTTTCTTTTCTGTCCTTTGTTCTTCAATTGTCTCATTTTAAAGCACACGAACCTATAGTTTATTCAACCTTATCCTACAAATGACTGATCAAGTGTAACCAATACTTACTACAGAAAAACAATGTTACACCAATCAAGTACTATTGACAATCAAAGAATATCTCAAGTTCATCTCCTACTCAAATAAAAGATTCAAATCATCAAACACTTGTTGACTATTGAACCTAACATCATACGTCACCAAGGCTTAACCTAAACAATGTACCCACTCATGCAAGTATGTACATGTAGTTGTACGTTCAAATCTACATATTACATACATACATTATTGAAACAGCATTTCAAAAAATACAAAAGAGCATTTAATTCACACATTTAATTTGACAACATGCAGCAAAAGGTGAATAAAGTACACATGTATGATATTATTCCTGGTGTTCAGTTTTTTTATTATTAATTTACAAACATATGCAGTTGTTAATAATAAAAGATAAAAAGCCTCAAATAAATAAAAAATGTACCGCTTGCGAAAGAAAGCATCATAACTTGTATTTTATGACACTAATCAAAGACTTAAACACTTCCACTTCGTAAAACAAAAAAGCTTCAGCATACACTTTGACTGTGTGTACAAGTACATACATGTTAAATAGTATTGAGTCGTATTGATAAACTTGATTGGCTGGCTGGCTGGCTGTCCGCCATGTTTGGATAGACATTGCTTGCAATCGATGGTCCCTCCGCAAAGTCTCACCACGTTAAGTGCTTGCAAGGCTGTGTTTCATACTATTGACATTGAAATTCCATAGTATAGCTGCCGTTCAATATTGTTCAAGAATACAAGTAGAAACTGGGCGAGCTTGAGAATTGTACGAGAGCAATTGATATGAAAGTAATATCACGTCCACGGCTATTATTACTTTCAATGTTAAATGGAAAATGAGTATGCGCCTGAATAATAATAACAATATTAATAATTTAATTTTAATTTTTATAGCGCACATATCCTCCTTACAGTGCATGTATTGTTCAGGGTTTAATTATGTCTCAAAAGTACATAATGGAAAATTCCCTTACATCTGTTCATTTTTGCTTTCTAATTTACAAAACACCAACAAAATAAAATTAATTTTATCTAGAAGCCCAAACAAAATTTCACAACTTACTATCAATTACAGTGTATGATAGTAATTATGTTATAGAATTGACATAATGGCACATACACAATAAATTATTAAACAAAACACACATGACACAAAAAACAATATCTTTTTATCAACAGTTACTTGTAAGCCTTTATGACATCATTTTCCTATAACATCAAACTCCACAGTATCCATGACAACCTTACAATTATTGATCATAAGGATTTGTGTTGGTAATCATCATGTTGATGTCTCTTCACATAAATGATGTAATCAGGGACTTGGAAGTCCCTGATGTAATCGTAGTAAGTACTTCCTAATGATTTTGATGGCAGGAATATTACCTAATTAAACATAGAGATGCTACTGGTATTTATTTTTATGATGAAAATGATAATGATTGATAGTGTTAATGGCCTGGTTGAAATTTAGAAATAATGATTGAATTACGATCAATGGGGACAATTAATTATGATGAAAAGTAATGTAGTTGATAGAATATGAAGACAACGATGATGAAAATGGTGGTGATCATGATGATGATGGCAATAATGATAATGATTGTGAGGATAGTGATGGTAATGGTGATGGTGATGGTAATGATGATGATGATGAAGATGATGATGTTGATGGTTAAGATCATGATGGTGATGATGATGGTGATGATAATAATGATGATCATGATCATGACGAATATTATGATAATGATGGTGACAATGGTGATGATGGTAATGGTGATGGTAAAGATGATGATGGTGATGATGGTGATGTTGATGGTATTGATGATGGTGATGATGATGGTGATGATGGTGATGATGATGGTGTTGATGATGGTGATGATGATGGTGATGATGTTGATGATAGTGATGATGGTGATGATGATGATGATGATGGTAAAAATGATAATGATAATGATGGTGATAGTGATGATGATGATGATGATGATGATGATGATAATGATGGTGATGAGGGTGATGATGGTGGTGAAGTTGATGATAGTGATGATGATGGTGATGATGAAGGTGATGATGATGGTGATGATGATGATGCTGATGGTAATGATGGGGATGATGGTGATGATGGTGATGGGAATGATGGTAATGGGGATGTTGATGATACTGATGATAGTGATGCTGATGATGATGATGATGATGATGATGGGGATGGGGATGTTGATGATGGATGGTGATGATGATGATGATGACTATATATGGTGATGATGATAATGATGATGGGGATGATGATAATGATGATGGGGATGATGATAATGATGATGGTGATGATGATGATGGTGATGATGATGATAGTCAAGTGATGATGATAGTGATGATGACAATGGCAATGACGATGATGATGGTGATGATGATAATAATGAAAATGATGAAGATGATGTTGATGTCGCTGCTGCTGCTGGTGATGATAATACCCAATAACGACAATAAAGTGATGGATGTGGTATCAGATGATGAAAAATTACACCCATGTCACTATGTGAAGGTAATGATGAATATGACAATGGTGATGAAAACTGATAATAAATGATACTCATGATGATGAGGAAGTTCATCAATTTCAGGATGATGGTATTGATGAGGGGAAGACGACGATGACAAGAAGGACAAGGAATAGAAAAAGAGAGGGGTGATGATGTAGAGTATAAGGATCAAAAAGGTGATGGTTCTGATGAGTATTATCAATTGATGATCATTAACATGAGATGAAGATGTATCAAATTATGATGATGATGTTGCATGATAATCACTATGATGATCAATAACGATCAGTATTAAGATGGTGACGGTAAAATTGAATATTACATACAAGGTCTACGATGAAGATGATGATGATTACGATGATTAGGATGGTGATATAATGATGATAATGATGATTATGATGATGGTGATAATAAGGAGGAGGAGGAGGAACATTACAATGATGATAATGATGAATGATGATGAATATTAGGATAATGATTAAGATATAATATAAGCCTAAGGATGCATGCATGATGATGATGATTATAAGGTACTGATAAAGATATTATATAACAGGTCTAATGATGATAATAGTAATGACGATGACGATGATGATGATGTTGTTGATGATGATAATGATGGTGATGATGATGAATATGATGAAGTTATGAATGCCAAATAATGTTCTTCCCATGGAATGCTTGCAAATAAGGCAGGTTGAGTTTGAAAAAATAATGAAAAAATAAAAAATATATAATTTTGATTTATGAACAATTTGATATACTAGATTTAGTGTACGTATGGTTGTTAATGTATGTGTTGTTAATGTATGTAGAATAATGCGACTATATCCTTACAAAATGTCAATAAATATACAAAAGTAGTATTTACATAATTTATATATGCCACAACACATCATAAAAAGCACCATAATATTTGAAGACACGAGAAATGCTATACAAATAACAACATTGACATTACTTTAATACTAGTCTACCATATTATGCCAAATTTCATAAAAACATTACAAATGTCCATAAACCTGAGGCATATATACCATGATATACCGCGGTAATCATCTATACACAAATGAAAAGGGAGCCGCGTTGTGAACATAACGGAGTGATAGATGTTCTCCCACGGCCCACCCGAGGCTCCCGCCGGGCTGTCACTCCTATTTACGCTAGCTGCTACAAATATATTCGGGTGCTAGCGATATCGTATATAAATATACTAAAAACGGAATTCACTCCATAAAAAACAAATAATACTCACCATTTAAGTTCAACATGATATATTCTGTCCACAGGAAAAAACGACAAAGGATATTCCGAATGCAATTCCAAGTTCAACATCTACACACAAAATACACCCCGACTGCTAATGTCTAGGTAAAATCCGTGGAAGGAATGATGACACGATGTGGATCTAATATTGCATATTGCACGGTCCGTGGTCCGCGCGCTTGTAAACCGTATTTTGCAGAGAGATGGCGCGAGAATGCATAAAAATCATTACATTGATTTTTATGTTCCCAAAACAAAACACCGTGCAAAACATATACGAATGTGTTTGGGGTCGGACTTTGCATTGCTGGAGTTGGATATGATAACTTTTCTATAAAATACTCATAAACCTTCCTCGATAATAAATCTCTGAGGAGCTCCACAGTACCGTTACTAAAACTGCATTAAAATATATACTCTTTTTCCATCAACAAAACTTCAGTTATCCTTTTTTCCGCTCCTCAAAATAGCTTCCCCAATATTCCATACCAGGGGCGGCGATCCCAGGGGACGGGCGACGGGGGACAGAGGACGGAAGACGGAGGACGGGGGGGGGGCACGTCCCCCCCCCCCCTCAATTTTTTAGGGAGTCGTCCCCCCGGAAAATATGAAACAGTGCCAACTGAAATTATACTGACTAAAGACTCAAACAAACTTTTAGGCTCTGGAGCTAGGGGCATAGACTTGCTCGGTATAGCTATCACTCCCTCACATTATATCGCAAGTAAATATTGTAGAAAAGTGAAGTGTGAAAAAGTATATTGCTTATTTTCATACTATAGTTTTGCTAAGGACTGTAATTTTTTAATACAACAAACCTGCAAAAAAACTGTGAAGGGGTAGTCACTTCCGTCACCTTCACCACTCTCGTTCAAGCTTGCTCCCTCGCACTAGCTTCCCTAAGCTTCCAGGGGCTCTGCCCATTTGGACCCCACCAAGGGCCCTAAGGCAGCCCCCTTGATGCTAATCTGATCGTAATTGAATGCATAAAACCCTTTAGATTATGGGGGCTACGCCCACTGGACCCGCTAAGGGCCCCAAGGCAGCCCCCTGGATGCTCATCTGATCGTTATTTAATTCCTAAAACCCCTTAAATGTTGGGGTCAACGCCCCTTTACCCAACAAATAAGATATCAAAACATGCTCATCTGACCGTTATTGCATGCCTAAAACCCCTGAGGTATATTGGGGCTACGCCATTTGACCCCCCGCCAATTTACGCTCCATTTCCTTCGCTCCACTTTGCTCTAAAATACCTGATCGTAAATACTTTAGTACCCACCTCCTCCCACTTTGAAAACGTTCGGCGGGCCGGCATGTAACATGTAAGATTAGAGGTGACGCGGATTTCTTTTTTTCTGCCCCTCCCCCCCCCCCAAAAAAAAACCGTTTTTGCTCATTACGCCGTTGCTCCTTCGTCCCTTGCATTTCGTCACCCCGGTCATGAAAAGAAAATCGCCGCCCCTGTTTCATTCATCAACAATTTTGTTTCCTTTTAACCCAAAATGTTGAAAATGAGATATTGACCGCATGCCATTGACAGCAAAAATATCTTGAGCTTAAATTACATTGCACTTAAACAAATCCTCATCACACATCATTTACTTTTTTTTTAAAGAAATGTTAATGTTAAAAATAATTGGATTATTATTTTCTTCAAAATTTCTATATACAACAAAAAACTCTAGGTACTTTGAAAATTGACTAGGAATCGTAATTACACCACTAGAAATCAAAGTATATTTATTTTTCCGTACAATTTTCACCCACATGACACTTTGGGTTTTTATTTTTTACAAACGAGTCAATATTGATATCTTAATTCGATCTTTCCCATTCCAAATAAATTCAAAACATATTTTCTGTATTTCCGATATGACCCACTTTGGAACTACAGTGAAGCAAAAACGTAATTTAATTTACATAATACATATGTTTTTAATTAATGCATTTTTCTAAACACCGTGAGGGCCCTCTTTTTCCACCATCCGGGAAATCTTTTAATCTTGCTTAAAATCTCCTTATTGAATTCAACTCCTCTCTCATTCTGACGTCTAACGCAAAATACGTTCCCAAAATCTTAATTTCTTTAACCAAATTTCCGAAGGGGAGTCTTTTTGATTTGTCTCTATTTCCCCCCAATTTCATAATATTAGTTTTTCCGCATTGACCCGTAAACCACTTATTTTGCTTAAATCACATACAAATATCTTTATCTACAGGATCTTTACTTCTAACAAATATTGTCATATCTTCTGAATATAAAACTTGTTTGACTTCAATTCCTCCAATATTAACGCCAATAATCTCATCCTTCCTCCGCCAATATTTCAATAGCGTGAATAAATAAGTAGGGCGAGAGTGGATCTCCTTGCCTTACACCTCGTTTAATATCAAAATAACCAGTAGCAAAACCCCCATTCACAACACAAGTACTTATAATTATTACTGTAAATAGTTTTTACCCACGGACAAAATGCGGGGACCGAGGTCACCGAGCCCAAACATTTCTAAGACTCTAAAGAGGAAAGTATGAGATACGGAATCGAATGCTTTTTCAAAATCAACCGCAATCAAATAACTACAAGCTTTATCGTTTGACTCCTCATTAACTGAAAAACAGAACAAAATTTATCATTGATTAAACGTTCCGCTTCTCCAATATTGCGATTATTACACCTTTGACATAATTTTGTAATAAACCTTTAATAATGTAATCGGCCTATAATTTGTTATGTATCGAGGTCTTTCCCTTCTTTCTCAATCAAAGTAATAACCCCTTGTTTTGTAATATGGATAGACTCCCCATGGCTTAATTAACCTTCATTAATTTTAAAGCATCTACCAAAATATTTCCGATATTTAACCAAAACGTGACAAAAAATTCAATTGTAAGGCCATCATTCCCCGGACACTTGTTTAATTTTAGAGCCTTCAATACCTTTAAGCACTGATCTTTTGCTAATTGCTATTTACCTTAACATGCTTTCCTTCCATCTTCACTTAATTTTTTAACATCTTTGAAAAACAAATTTTCCGTGTCCTCATTAAAATCACTGAACTTTTCCAGATAAACTTCTAATCATCGCCAAAATTACTCATATTCAACATTTTCATTCTCATCATACAACCCCCTTACCACGGTTTCTTCTAATTGTATATTGTTTGACTAGTTTGGAAGTAATATTTCTGGAGATCTAGGCCATAATTTGACTCAGAAGATAAATAGTGGATATATCATTAGGCCATATATATATATATATATATAAAGATACGATCTACCAAGAGTTTCTTTTCTCCGTCCGCATAGGCCTACATAATAATAATAATAATAACCTTTACTTATTATAGCGCTTTTCATAAGAGATTTATATTAAAGCGCTTTACAATATTGATGCAAGTAAAACCATGGAGATATAAGAACTTATGATGGTAAAACCAGGGCTTGTAATAAAACCAAACAGAGTGACAAGAGAACAAATTTAAAGTGAAAATATCAAACAGAAGATAACAAGGTAAGGTAACGATTTAAAAACTAGGTTGAATATGCATAACTGTCAACATGGCTTGACTAACCTAACTTAAATTGAAAAATAACGAGTAAGGAAGAAGGGGGGGGGGGGGGGCGGGGGTGGGGGTGTGAAACTATTAGTCGAAGAAAAGATTTGTAATGCATTCATGGATGGCCAATGCAATGTAGAGGGCGACATTTTAGTTTAAATCAGACAATGGAAGGAGTCAGTATTTACAAAAATGTTTAAAGATTTATCTAAGTTATGCTTCAGTAGTTCCGTCTTCACGTTATACCACTTTTCGAGAGGTAATTATGTTTTTAATAATGTGTTATTTTCATTATATTTATTTCCATATTATGTGTGAAATAGCTGTTTTTAAGAGGGCCGAATCGGCGAGATTATAATACAGCCCCACTCGTTGCAATCTGTGCGGTCTTTTTGGAGACAGAAGTGAATGCACGGGCTGTGATTGTTCAAATATTATGCCATCTCAGCCCATCTTTTTTCTCTTTTCATTATAAGAGAGTAGGCCTATTTGGAAAATTTCAACAACAATAATTTTTAATTTTTTAAGAAGAGTGTGACGTTACCATGTCAAATGACTGACGGACAACGGTAAGGTAAACGAGCCTGAGTGAAAATCAGTAGGGGCGGTGGTCCAAGAAGGATCATCCGCATTGACAAGGATATCCACGTAAAAGCGGACAAATTGCATCCTTTTCATTGGCGCTTTGCGAGTTTTCGGTTCCTCAACCGTGCGATGGTGATGTGAAAAACAGATTCCGCGTAAAAAAAAATAATCCCAGTTCACCATCTACATTTATGGGTTGTCTTTCCAAGGATTTATTGCTCATAACGTGAAAGTCTCTGTACAAAGTCGATACAAAATGCATCAAGAAAATCGTCTGTCCGTGTTCATGAAGGCGATCCTTGTTTATGCAGACGATCCTTTTTCTCGGACCAGTGCCCCTACTGGAAATGGCTGAATAATTTGATGATTGATGTGAATTGTGATGGTCCGTTGTCTTAGTGAATTCCTTTCTTATTCTATCTAGGCCTAGCTCGATCCAGCTACAAGCAAAGTTGATATGTACGAAATAGAAATGAAATCAATTCAAGTGCCGTGTCGATAGCTGTAGCTGGCTGCTAACATGATATTTATTAAAACTAGTAATATTACGATACCAAACTTGATACTAAAATTCATGCCATATATTTAATACTGTCTTATGTCAAACTGGAAGAAATCCCTTACTAAATCTGAAATTTTACTCTGAAAAATGTGTGTTACAAGGACTTATAGATATTTAGATTGCTTTATTCATATTACTTTAAACTTTGATATAAAATATGTTTTCTGACGGAGATGCAAAACAATCCATAGCTTAGTCTGTTTGTCATATATATTATTATATATATATATGTGACAGGCACAGCAAGAGTTAAACAAAATTCAGGTGTGTATTTTGGTTACTGCAGTTGGTCATGACACTATTGAATCTCATTTCAGATTAGCCAGCAGTCATGGAAGCAGAGGCTACTGTGATTAAGGTTACATGTCCTGAGAAACAAGAAGAGCTGCCAAAGGCATCCTCTGAGATCCGAGATGAACCAGTTGCTGCATCCCTACAGAATGATGACAAGAAAACACCGGTCAGTGATTATGCTTCTCAGAGGACTTCGGAAAGTCTTGTTGGAGTGCTAAGTATTCCAGTGATTGTTCAAAGTGGTGATGCATCAATTCAGCAAGCCACATCAGATCAAGTCGAGTCAAGGAATGGTGAACAAAGTGAAGGAACTACCTGCATCGCTCAGGGTAACAATGAACTAACGGATGGAAATAGTGCTAGTGGACATGGCTCGTCGGTTATATCAGAGACCTTGATTGAAGCAGCGTTATCATCAGAGTCATTACCATGCCAACCAAAGCAAGATGCGCTCAAGGATAGGGGTGGTACGGTGAAATGTGCAGGATGTGGAAAGGCCTTCAGTCAGCCCTGGGCTCTTCCACAGAGAGCTAACAGGGTGGTGCTTTCTTTGTGTGACGACTGTGAGAACATCACCTCGGCCATGTTCATTTGCATCAGCTGCGGGCAAGAGTGCAGCAGCCTTGCTTCCCTGCGAGCACACAAACAGACGCATCTAGTCCCCGAGCAGCGCATCTTTGTTTGTGAAATGTGTGGTGTGGGTTTTCAGAAGCAGATTTCTCTGGAGGTGCACACGTGTGCAGGTCTTGTGAATGTAATCAGCAAGTCAGACGGAAAAGGTGCCACTTTGCAGGAGGCTGACGTACCACAAAAGCAAGCTCGATCAAGAAGAAAACCTAGGGTGACACAGAAAGTGAGGGTGGAAGCCATTGTCAAAACTTTATCCAAAAGGAATCAGCAGACTGCGAGGAGCGTCCCAGCAAGTAATAACGTATCTCCAAAGAAAGCGCAATCTGCAAAACGATCTACATCAGCCAGAAAGCCACAGGCCAGAGGTAGGAAGAAAACAATAAGAAAAACTCCTTCAGCAGTACTTCCGACTAAAGCAACTCCTCTAAAAAAGAAATTAGTAGTTAATTTTTCACCTCCATCAAGCAGGCCTAGGACCCAGAGGAAAATCTTGAAGATACCAAAAGTGTTTGAATGTAAAGAGTGCTCTGAGTTCTTCACGGAAAGTAAAGAGTTGAGAAAACACAAAGCCATACATAAGAAAACAAGGGAAACTTTTCATTGTGAGACATGCAAGAAGGAATTCAAGTCTAAAGGTAATCTCAGTCGTCATGAGCTTACACACTCTGAGAAACCTACAACCGTTTGTGAAATTTGTGACAAGGTATTTCAGTCGATTCATACTCTATTAACTCACAAGAAGACAGTTCATAATGAATTGAAGCCATTTGTGTGCGACATCTGTCATAAGGATTTCAAGCAGTTAGGTAACATGAAGACACATCGACGCACTCATACAGGAGAAAAGCCTTTTGTGTGCCAGGAATGTGGGCGGGCCTTCGCTCAGATGGGAAATCTTCAGGCACACATGGTCATCCATGCTGCTTCTAAACCTCATGTCTGCGAGATGTGCGGCAAGGCTTTCTCCTATCTTCGCAGTCTGCAGAACCACGTGCGAGGCACTCACACGGGGGAGCGCCCGTTCGCATGCCCAGTCTGCGGCAAGACGTTCTCCAACCCGAGCGTGCTTCGGGATCACAAGCGAACGCACTCTGACAAGAGAGGCTACCTGTGCGACAAGTGCGGGAAGGGTTTCAAGAGCTACAAGAATCTGAAGCAGCATGAGAAGTTTCACCTGGACGTTCGTCCCTACAGCTGCCAGGTGTGTGGGAAGGGGTTTGTGTGGTTCAAAAGCTTTCAGCTCCACAAGAGGACTCACACGGGGGAAAAGCCATATACTTGCGATCAATGCGACAAGGCTTTTTCCAACATCAACTCTCTCAAGAACCACAAACAGAAGCATCTCTCTGGTTACGCCGCTCCACCTCCCAAGAGTCGCTCCACCGCCAAAACCCATCCTCCTCCAATATCGGCTCCTCCTCCATCTCTCCCCCCACTCCAAAGCCAAACAATGATCATCCCACACCCACACCCGAGCCTCCACCAAGGGCATACCAGGGATCACATGGTCAACTCCATCCACCATCATGCAGACGTTCCTTCTTCTACTTCTTCCTCTACTCCTCCCATTCATCATCCTACTATCTCATCCCACTCTCAGGCTTACAGTCATGTTGTCTTTCCTCAGGCTTTCCCATCTTTTGTCACTAATCCCAGTGGAGATTTTACCATTCTATGATATTTTTGTTCAATGCAATAATTAGTAAGTTTTATTTAGTTTTGATGACATTTTGATTTACTGATAAGATGTCTGATTATTATTATCAACTCAAAGAGTATCAGTAAGTGTGGTGCTGTTCATATTTTAAACACGGATAAAGGCTTGTTAACACATGACGTGGTAGCAGTTTCTCTGCTTCATATTTTTGTATCTTATATGTTATAACACAAAGATTAGTGGGAACATGTACTAGGCAGGGCTTGATACTAACAGGCGCTCGGGAGACATGGGAGCCCAGATCTAAGTCTGGACCTCCAAAATTTCAAGATGTATACGTAGGCTTATACATTGAGGCCTTACAATTATGAATCTAGTTCATAAAAAAGTTCATGTGGAGCCCTGAAGTATGTGCAGGACCTTTGTTGCACGCAGCTTCATGTACTTTTTTAAATCCCTACTTGCCATGCAGTTAGTACAAAAAACACCTACAGTTTACAACAACATATGATGTACACTGTATATGAATGAAATTTTAGAGAGTACTCTGTCGGGCTTCTGTTTCATGGAGCTCCTTTTTCTGCCTTACTTGCCACTTCACGGTATTAATTACAAAATGGTTGTGTTTTTCCCCAGTTTATTTTCAGTCGATATACAATATGTATGAAATGGGCTTTATCATTAAGTAATAGGCTGATTGCTGATATCAGAATGATATTCTTAAAGACTTTTCCACGGGAACTATTCCTTGGAGTAGGCTCACATAAAGATTTGTTTGTGAGTCTTTTATTTTGAGCTCGAGAAGACATGGTGATCACGTTCAGTAATTTATGTTACAAATAAGTGACACATTGTTGTTCCTGTTTTGTTGTATTTAATATTGTGTGTTTGTGACAGGGGCTTTTATTTCAGTAATATTTGCCTATTTCTTTGCAACTCATGACATGATGACAAGTCTACATTACCGGTATGCTCCTTTTGACAATAATGATATGATGAATCATTGCTATAGTCTTTTATCTCTATATTTTGTTTAGAATGATCCTTGACAAAATGTTGGTTTTCTGCGAACAGTGAGATCCTGTCTTATGATTATATTGATGGAGTTGCCTGAATGTTGTTTATGATTATATCCATTTCAAATTATGTTTGGTCATATCAGCAGCAGTGCTTTACATGTGCTATGTACATTAACCACCTAAAAAGTATCACAATGAAATAGAAGACATTAAATTGCACCTTTAGGCATTTCCCAGGCTGATTTTTAGATTAAAATTATTGAATGATGAAACTGAATGAATGAATGAAAATTTGTTGTGAAAACTTATTCCTTTGTTAAAGTGCCACTACAGTGAGTATGTGCAGTCACTTGTTTATGATATTTTTAATCCACTACATGAAATCCTCTGCTGAGAGCCAATGTGGCTTTAATTTTGTTTGATTAACAATATTTTGTCCCTCAGTGGGAGAAAAAACAACTGGCTTCAACATATTGTTGTTTATGTTGGTTGTATTTTTGGCATTGAGTCGAATTTGACTATTTGCACCTAATTTGTAGGTAGTCTGGTTCTAATGCAGTTTTGCCTTTTAAATAATTAATTAGATTATTTTGCATTCTGTTATTAACTCCATGATTATACCAATGAGTTTATTAATGTACACCTATATAGGGATGTTTTGTTGACAATGATGGTTCTTAAATTTAATTGATACCAGTATATAGTACACGTATTAGGCTATTAGTGTTACTTCTACTGTAGGTTAATTGTCCATATCATCAAGCCAAAACTTCTTTAATTTTTGTTAAAGATTTTCTGGTTTCTTTGAACTGTTTGTTGAATAGGAGCTAATAATAGTTATATTAGTACTGTATTCTGAATAATGACAATGAGACACCAGCATGCTCATCAACTATTGCATATTTAGCAATACCTTGCATTTCCTCTGTATTCTTTATATTTTCCTAGTTCTATTCTAGTTTAAATGGGCTGACTGGTTTTGATTGTGAATAAAGTGCTGTACCCTAAGACTGTAAAAGTATTAATTTCTACCAAATTGTAGGCTGAACGATATGTTGTTATGAGGATTATTCTTTATTTTACCTTTAAAATATTTTTGTTTGTATTAAATGAAATGTGGCAGCAGCACTAGTACACGTATGTCCGTATTATATAGAGAAATCTTGCAACAACAAAATAGCTTACGAACAACAAAATGTGCATTATTCAAACTTTACAAAGAAAGTGCATTTTCTTGTCCAATGTTATGATATTTGAATAAACAGACTTGGTAAATCCCAGAAACAAAAATGTTTAATTTCAATTTGCCCAAACTTTGTATTTTGTGGATTACATTTGTAGTTAGCCCAAAAGGTGAAATAATAGGTTATCTAATCATATTTTAATGGCATTAATCATCAAATGCCTGTTGTGTTGTTGGCGTAGTTGTTGTTTAGGTTTTCAGGAGTGAATGTTTCAATGGTATGTCAAACCTTTAGATTTTCTAGTTTGGTGGTAACAATTTTAGCAATTATTTCCCTCATAAGAGTTTTATTACTGAAGGAACATTTCTTGTATTTTTACAAATATCTGGGTTTGATTAAGAAACCATCATTGTTACCTTACTTTTATACTCAGTCAGGAGCATGGCAGCAATGGTATTTGATAAAAGAAGAGTATTTCAATGTTATCTGTTTATCAGTTCAATCATTCAAACTATTCATTTCATTATAACTTGTACATGTATGTCTGATGTATGTATTCTCTCTGTAATATTTCCCTATTTTAATTATATTGTAGAAGTAACTTATTTAAAGCATGTAAGATGAAGGAGGCTTTCAGTTAAGTGGCTTTGTGTAGTACTAGTAATGATTGAAATGTATATGGTTTTTAGACTGTCATTGAAATATTTGTGTACATACAATATATTGCACATATTGCAGTTGAAATTTTACAAGTAGTTTGATTGTCAAAGTCATTTTTATTACTTCTCAAATGATGTTGTCACTCGTTTTAACACAAATGTGTATATAATGTATTTTCCTTTCATAATTGAATATTTAATTCACAATTCATAAATACTTATGAAGTATGTTCTTTACTCATTGCCGTTTATATTTTTCATTTTCTTTTTTTTTTATTCATGTCTGCTCAGCTAATACATTTTGTATAAATGTGCCTCTTATGTCAGTGGCTGTTTTTCATAACTGAATCATGTGAAGTGAAATGTGACTATCATTTAAGAACATTCAAGTGTATTTGAAGAAAAAAAAATAAAGCAAGTGATAAGCAACTCATGAAACTCATAAATTCTGTTGTTTGTGTTCCATTATGGCCTTTGTTTTCCTCAGTACGTACCCTAATATACCTCAAAGAAGAATACCAATAAAAATACTTGGCAGATATGTTCATATGCTCAAATTGTGAGAGAGTTTTATTTTTATTTTTCATAATCAAAGATGAACAAAAAATGATAAAATACCTTACCTTCTCGTAAGTATATTGTAAACAATATTTATGTGGCTTATTTCATCATGCAAAATATTCAAGATCTAATTTCTTTTGCAATAGTTATTTGGTAATTTTGGGGGATATTCTTTGTACTTTTTTTATTTAATGAACTGTTTCCTGCTTTCTGATGTCATAGTGTATGCTCTCTCTCTCTCTCTCTCTCTCTCTCTCTCTCTCTCTCTTTCTCTTCAGAAAGTGGGGGACACAAAACCATGCAATGCTTTTAAAAATATGACAAAGAAAAGGGTTATGTTTTCTTCTCACCCCCCCCCCCCCCTCCCATCCTGCCTCTAAAACTAACAGATCAGGTTTTAAAAGGAGGGCCCGTTCAAGCCGCTTGTGTCCCAAAATATAATAAGGAGTTCCCCATTCCCTTTCTCTGTACCTCACTGCAGAAGGAGGGGGGGGGGGGGGGGGGGGGGGGGGGGGTGGTAATCCACAAATGTCAGGATAGTGAAAGCCTACAAAATGCTGTTATTTTATCAAAGATTTTTAAACATTATCTGGACTTGTACAGTATCTTATTTATTGGTAGGACTATCATCATTGATTATATTTTTGATCAACTCGCACAACTGAACATGCCAAGTGAGAGGGTGTTGGGGGACAGTAGCCCCTCCCCTTCCGTCCTCCCCCCCCCCCCCCCCCCCTCTCCCCCTTTATGCTCCCCTTTCCCTGCAACGATTGTGACAATATCAATATTTGGCAAGGAGGTGAGCATATAACCTTGTAATATATATGTGATATGTACGTATCATGATATTGGGGCGGGGGGGGGGGGGGGGGGGGGGGGGGCTCACTCACAAAATTTAGACACTGGAAAGTTGATGGGTTTAGGCCCTGGGGCATGAGACCCGGACTCCCCCGGACTGAGACCATCTGGCCAAAACATTAGCCAAGGATATTTAATAGGTACCGTGTAGACTGAAATCATTTTCTATTCTTTTTTAGTTCGAAGGAAACCTTTTCAAAACAGATCAACAACCTTTCAGCTAAGAGCTGCATTTACACGAAGATATCAAGCTCATGATTGAAGCTAACTCTACTGCTCATAAGGGGCATTATGCCGCATATAGCTAGAAGTACCTTAGGGGTGGGGCCAAATCTCCTCGAGCGTATACGTCGCTTAGTGACGGGACGAGCCGTACGTACGTACGCATTTATATTCGTACGTACGTACGTTGTTCGCGCGCCTAAGATGGAACATTAACACAGGCCAGCCAGCGGAGTTCGTGGAGCTGTGATTCACCGATTGTGAAGTGAGGAAAATACTTGAATTGTTTTCTGTTCAAACTTTTTAACTATCCCTGGTCCGTGGAAACTATTACAGCTGGACTGGTCGAGAATTTTAAAGGTAAGAAATCGTTTTGTTTCTGTCTGTTAATATTTCCTACCAAGTTCTTGAACGCCCCCAAACTCTCTGAGGCCAAGGACTATCCGCGCGGTGCCCCGGAGTCCCGGCGTCGTGAACGAAGGCTTGTCCGCTGACCATGCGATTAAAAAAAAAAAAGTTTAGACCTAGAAATCTAACAGTTAGATCTAGTCTAGATTAGATCTACACTCAGAAAATTGTCATTTATTTTAAAAGTCAGCTATGAACGAAAGGTTATCAAACATGTTTTGAAAGAGTGTGATATCCCGAATCGTTATAGTCTAGGTATCACACTAATCAGTCATGAACTGATCGAGTGATTCAGAATTTTGGATTCTGGATAAACAAATGAAATAACACAAACATTTTTTCAATGCAGGAGCTGATACAAATAGTGTACATAGATCTACTTGTAAAATGAGAAAGTAGTGTTTGTTAGGATATTTTTTCTTATTTTCTTAGGCCATATAGATCTAGAGTAGTCTAGACCTAGATCTACATGTATTGTACAAGTATAGGTCTAAATCTAGACTAAATCTTTAGGCCTAGAAATCTAGGCCTAGATCTATATAAATTTACTGTAGACCCTATTTTATGTGACATCTTCTCAGATTTGCTGCAGTCAAGGTCAAGGTCTTTATTACGAATCATCATCAAATCTATTATAAAATACATTCCTTTTATTTATCATTTCATCAGATGACTGTCATGGAGGAGCGATTATAAATTCAAGGCAGGAACGTGCTGGACAGATATTTGTGACTTGTGGTCTGTGTTTCCTTCTGATATTCGACATGCCTGATGAAGAGAGTGGACAACCAGCATCAGACAGGGAAAGGTGGGTAGATTAAGGAAATAAGGACTTTGCTTCACTGGCTATTACATTTTGGAGGAATTATTCCTACCTTTTGCCTTTTTGGCCCTCAAATTAATGTTACACATCCTAGATTCCTTTCTTTATCAAAACTTCTGTGTTAAAAGTTTACAAAATTACTGCACGTATTCCTAAGTTTTGCTTTGAAAGGTTGGCAGGTGGGCTATTGAAATGAAACCAGGGGCCAGTGTCTCAAAACTGTCAGTCTACAATTTCGCAGACATCCCATAGAAGCAAGTGTTAATTATATAATGATCACATGATCCTATGGGATGTCCAAGAGGTTAGAATTATAAAGATTTTGAAAAATGGCCCTGTTTACAATGTGTTTTTTTTAAGGGGGGGGGGTGTGTACTTTCTTTAAAAAAGAGATTTGGACAAGTTTTTAAATAATATTCAGTGTAGTTTACACTAATTACTGTAGACCTCACTGAGATATAATGTTAAAGAGCAGTTAGTGACTTTTATTCAGAGGAATCAGTCCATTGGGTTTGTATAAACCATACTTCTGCTTATCTTTTTAATACAAAGTGGAGAGGGTGTGTAGGGGTCACTACCCCTATTTATGCTGTGAAACTCTTGGTAGGCCTATAAGTTTGTAAACAAGTTAGATTGACCTACATGTATAGATTTCCTGACAAGTGGATGTTTTGAAGAAGATGGAATATAAAGAGGAATCTGTTTTTAATTTGAAGTACATGTGGTGGAAGGATTTCACATATCAAATAAATGTTTAAATGTGAACAAAACATTACTCTATGTTAATGTCTATTATGACATAGCAAACTCACATACCAAGACAGAGTGCCCTCTGTACAGCCCCAATACCCCAAGACAGTGTAAACACGATCTATTGTGCTGTTAACAGTGCCTGCATAATAAAACTCTGCAGCAATAGAAAGAAAGAGATGCTTATGAGGTCTATTGTCTGTGACTAGCCATTGAATAAATACACCATGTTTACCAATGAGAAGGAAAGATCAATGTTTATAGCAATAGTATAAACACTACATTCGTTTGACATACATTTATACCATTGATTATCTTTATTTTCTCATCCCAGTCCTGTTAAAGGTACTACTGTACATGTATGTCCCATTTGCAGGCCCCCCCCTAAAAGAAAAGGTTAAATTCCAACGGCATTTGAAAGACAATACTAATTTAGAAATTCCTCATAAAGAAAGGGCTTCAAAATGGCTTTTAGTGGGAAAAAACGACCATTATTTGTCAAATCAACTTTAGTAATTGCAATCACCTAAGTAATAGTCTGATTTTCAGACCCTTTTACTGAATGGTCGTACGTTTTGTGCTGCACAAAGAGTCAGATTCATTTTGGCCATTACAAGTAGTGGGTAATTGATGTCTACAGACAAATGGAAATGCTCATGTTTGTTACTTGTTTGACATGTACAGTATGTTATTACCAAAGAAAAAATACTAGGACACTGCTAATGTTTGAATTTCACAGATAGTACATGACATAGTTCTACTGAATTTGATGTTGGGTGCAATAGGGACATAGTATCTATGAAGTGTTTGCAGTCGTGTTGGACATTACCAAGAAACTTCTTATACAGTAGTTATACCATTCCCTCACTCTCTTATTATCACTCCATCCATTTGTCTACCCCTCCCTATCTCTCTTTCTCATCTTCCCTCCCCCCTCCCCCCCCCCCCCCTCTCCCCCCTCCCCCCTCTCTCTCTCTCTCTCTCTCTCTCTCTCTCTGTCTTTCTCTTTCTATTTCTGTCGGTCTCTCCCACCTCTCTTTAGTCTTTGCTATACTTTCCTGTATTATCGATGGTTGTTTTCCTAAGAGCTAGAACCAGGGTTAACACCTTACGTTCACATTACACCCTCAATGCATTGCTTCCATCATGATTGCGATGTTGATTTGTTTCTCTCTTGACACAATAACGAATGATACACATAGTTATGAAGGCAAACTGATATTATTTTTTATTGCTACATAAATCAACCAGGCACTGTAAGTAAGAATGCAACTTCATGTACCTGTATGAATGGCTATATACGTTTTACATATATGACAATGTTGAATTTGAGGAGCCATAAACTATTTGGAATGATTGGGCAATATCTACATTCATTCATAGATTCAATATTATCAGTTTTGTATTTGAAACTATAATATCTATTAAAATGCCTTCTACTCCTAGACCTTGTCAAAGTACTGAATAGTATCACACAGGTTGTACATGTATAGTATGTCTGACTACCACACCATTATACCTGACTACCACACCAATATACCTGACTACCACACCATTATACATGTAAATACATATTTCTACATTATGCAAAGAAGAGTGTTGTATAATTCAGTGGCTTTTTGCTGATACTTAAAAGCTAATATTCTTATAACATTGTGGATACCGGTAGCATTTACAAATATTTCATCTACATTCTTTTAAATTACAACAGTAGATACAATAAGATAAAGTCAGAACATATCGCAAATTGAAAAAAGAATGATTGAATTTGTATCTATCAACAAATGAATGAGCGTATCATTGTAACTCATGTTTTTTTAATTAAATTATTTTCAACCATTAGTCTCCACTTTCCTTTCATTCAATAAAATAGTCCACCACCGCACATCATAGAAATGCACCGCCCACACTCCCAAATCCCCATATATATCATTTAATCACTAAAATGTAGGTGAAATATATATGTATATTGCTGACATTATATGATAATACTATAATTCATTACAAATTTGCGACAAGATATACATGTATAATACTAGATTTAATCTAGTTTATCAACTGAGTGCAATCAGGAACCTCTTGCCCCAAAAGGAGTACACATATCGAGTGGTATTATTGGAATTACCATGGATTTATAGTTCGTAGCATATAGTGTATAGCTTTTGTACTTTGAACAGGCAAAAGGTGAAAATAGTCCTCACATTTGAGTATGGAATTTGTTTATTTGCTTTTTTTTTTTTCAGTGGTTATATCAATTGCAATGACCAAATTGTTTGTACATGTACATCATTGGAAATTTCTAGTGAGAACTAAAATAAGAAAAAAGTTTAGATTTATATTCACCCTCGCTATTTCTCTCATCCGCCTTTTCTACATGTTATTGATCTAGAGAGACCTATAAAACTGTTAAATGCATTTATCTGTGAATTATCAATGAATTGGCTACATGTTTCTTTAAATATATTGTATTAAACATTCCCTCCAATGTTATGTATGACTGTATTAATGTTAGAAGTACATTTGATCTATAATAGGTACATGTATATATGCATGACACAACTGTAAATCTACAGGTACATGTATTCGATTTATAATCGATTTTGCATTTGCCATTTGTAACACAATAGGTCTGTCTTCATCAGTTAGTTTCAGATTGCCAAATATCCCGCTAGTTTCAGACTCCGGATATTATCTCGATACTCAAAATCACGTCTTCACCAGACCGATACGCTCATCACAAACTAGCTTGAAAAAAATAATCTTGAGATTGACGCATGCACAATTCAGAGACCGAATGTATGACCAGCGTGCGGATTTAAGATTTTACGCACGCTGTAAAACGTAAACAAGTACCGGCTGTGCATGCATGCAGCGCAGGTTAGAGCACATGCTCCAAGCTAGTTTACTTACAGTATACACAGAAAAGTGGAAATCGTTGTGCATGATGGGATCGGGATATTTGGTCTGATGAAGACGGTGCAAACTATCCCGCTATTTGGAAAATAGCGGTATATTTTGCAAACTAGACCGAGATATCTTGGGATATGATCCCGACCAAATATTCCGCTTATTGCGTCTTCGGGCTGATGAAGATGTAAATTAGCTGGTAAATTTGCGATCGGGATAGTTCAAGTTCAAGTTCATTTTATTTCACATCCAATAAAAACATCATTATAACATTCAAAATACAATTATACAAAATGCAATATATATAAAATATAATAAGAACAAATAAAACAACAGTAACACTAAAAATGATTAATGGGTGGAGTAGGGATGTGAGGGACCAGAAAAAGCCATTGACCTATCTAGGCTGGTCCCCTTTTTCTACAACTCCAAAAGTAAAATCTTCAGTAATTAAAAGCAAAATATTGACAATATAGCCATTACATTAACTAAGACATATACATACAAGGACAGGCAGAATTAATAAAAGCTAAAAAAGTATATTGTAACTTGATATTTGTTTGTGTTTAAAATTACGCTTAAAACTAGACAATGTTGGGCATGCTTTGAGAGAATCTGGTAAGTTATTCCAAATAATGGATCCTTTATATTTTATTACTGTTCTTGACAAATTATAGCGAAATGAAGGAACATAAAGTTTGTGTGAATTTCTAGTACTATATTGATTTATATCTCTATTAAAAATAAAATAATTATTAAAACAATCAGGTAAAGTAGTTATATTGTACATGTAAGAGAACATAAAAGATCCAATACTTATGTCATATACATGTAGATCATAAAGTTTCAAAAACTTCAGCTTAAAAAACAATGTACCTGTATGTGCTCTATAATATGAGTTTGTTATAACCCTGACAGCTCTTTTTTGTAATAAAAGTAGCTTTTGAAGCAGATACGAAGCGCAGTTGCCCCATACAATAATACAATAATTAAAATAAGGCAAAATCATAGAGTTACATGTATACAATTATACAAGTATGCGTAATGGTAAAATATCTTTGAGTCTATTTAAAACACCAATGACCTTTGACAGCTTGTTAGAAATGGTCCTTCCACGTTAAGTTTTCATCAATAATGACGCCTAAGAAAGTAACTTGGTGTACTTGCTTAATTTCTTTACTATTTATACAAATCTTGATAGCAGCTTCATTTACATATTTATTTCTTGTTTTAAAAGTTACATAGTTTGTTTTTTCAAAATTAATCAACAATTTATTGGCAAGGAACTGCTTGTGTATTTTAACAATTTCAGAATTCAATAGAATATTTATTTCTACGGGATCTTTACCAGATAAAAACAGAGTGGTGTCATCAGCAAACAAAATAGAAGATAAAATATTGCTTACAGATGGCAAGTCATTGATATACAGTAAAAACAAGAGCGGGCCAAGATTAGAACCTTGAGGCACACCAGTTAAAATAGTGCTGTGATCAGAGTAATAATTACCGAAGCTAACATATTGCTTTCGGTTTGATAAATAATTTTTAATTTTTAATTAAAAGAAGAGGAATTCCTCTTATACCATAAAAACATATTTATTAAAATATTATGATCAATACAATCAAAAGCTTTGGATAAGTCTAGAAATACACCAATTAAAAATTCATTAAGTTCAAAAGCATTTGCAACTTTATCAATAAAATCAAGAAGAGCATGGCAAGTACTGTATCCTTTTCTAAAAGCAAATTGATTTTCATACATAATATTATTTTTACTAATAAAACGAGTCAATTGATCACATAAAATCTTTTCAAATATTTTGCTAAAAACAGATAACACGGATATCAGCCTATAATTATTCATAGTATTCATTATATAATAGTTCAAATAGCGGGATATATGGCAATATCGAGCTGATTGAGACAGGCCTAATGTGGCACTTTCTTCCAGGTTGGTCGAACTCGAAATCATTGCTTGATAATTTAATTAATCATTACTATGTTGTTGGCGACACAACTATTCATTGCTTGGTCACCTTGGTCAGTTGCAGACTCACTCTGGGTACACGTATCTGTACTTGCCACTTTACGTCTGGTTAGCTCTGTACCTTCAGCCACTTCAGCAGATGTTGGAGTGCATTGGTTGGTGGAATGTGATTTTTAGGCTACCGGTATATTACCTGATTAGTATTATCAGTCTTGTGAGATATGAATGGATCTGCCTTTCCTCCTCTCTCTGCCTTTCCTCCTCTTCCTCCTCCTCCTCCTCCTTCTCCCTCCTCTCTGCCTTTCCTCCTCCATTCTCTGCATTTCATCCTCTCTTTGCCTTTCCTCCTAATTCTGCCATTCCTCTTCCTCTCTCTGCCATTCCTCTCTTTGCATATCCTCTTCCTCTCTTTCCTCTTCCTCTCTCTGCCTTTCCTCTTCCTCTCTCTGCATTTCTTCCTCTCTTTGCCTTTCCTCCTCTCTTTGCCTTTCTTCCTCTCTTTGCCTTTCCTCTTCCTCTCTTTCCTCTTCCCTTTGCCTTTCCTCTTCCTCTCTCTGCATTTCTTCCTCTCTTTGCCTTTCCTCCTCTCTTTGCCTTTCTTCCTCTCTTTGCCTTTCCTCTTCCTCTCTTTCCTCTTCCTCTCTTTCCTCTTCCCTTTGCCTTTCCTCTTCCTCTCTCTGCATTTCTTCCTCTCTTTGCCTTTCCTCCTCTCTTTGCCTTTCTTCCTCTCTTTGCCTTTCCTCTTCCTCTCTTTCCTCTTCCCTTTGCCTTTCCTCTTCCTCTCTCTGCATTTCTTCCTCTCTTTGCCTTTCCTCCTCTCTTTGCCTTTCTTCCTCTCTTTGCCTTTCCTCTTCCTCTCTTTCCTCTTCCTCTCTTTCCTCTTCCCTTTGCCTTTCCTCTTCCTCTCTCTGCATTTCTTCCTCTCTTTGCCTTTCCTCCTCTCTTTGCCTTTCTTCCTCTCTTTGCCTTTCCTCTTCCTCTCTTTCCTCTTCCCTTTGCCTTTCCTCTTCCTCTCTCTGCATTTCTTCCTCTCTTTGCCTTTCCTCCTCTCTTTGCCTTTCTTCCTCTCTTTGCCTTTCCTCTTCCTCTCTTTCCTCTTCCCTTTGCCTTTCCTCTTCCTCTCTCTGCCTTTCCTCCTCCATCCTCAGCATTTCTTGAATCTCAGACATCTTGAATCTATATATTCACGAGTACTGTGATGGAAAGATGAAAACATTGGATATAATTTCACTTAATGATTATATTAAATATACTGATTTCTTTCTTGGGAGATTGATATGACAGCTACTGCTATATAACTTATTTCAAAGAAGCAACGTGGTGACTTTTAAAGAGAGTGGTATGCCACTCAATGCTAGGGGCCCAAGTCATGCTTTAATAATAATAATAAATCAGATTTATAACGCGCCTAGTACTTGTTTCTAGGTGCAGTGGTGCTGTTGTCCCAGCGGCAATCAAGTGAAGCGCTGTCCTAACACAAATTAAAAGCCAGGATGACAGCAAGAATTTATTCACAAAAATTACAATACCGTTTGTTACAGATAAATAAATGAATAATATATTATCCTAAAGATTACTTATTTCATAATTGTAGTAGTACAACATCTATTTATTTATTGTGACATGTTTAGAGAAAACAGAAATTAATGATATGGATTTGAACAAATGGGTTTTTAATATTACTTTGAAAGTGTGTATAGAAGGAGCATTTTGGATGTAGGACGGGAGGCTATTCCACAACTGGGGGGGGGGGGGGGGGGGGGCTAAAGAAAGTGCTCTATCACCGTATCTTGTTTTCACACAAGGGCCAGGAATTAGTTGAAAGTGAGAGGAAGTTGAAGCACGCAACGTGGAGGAGGGGGGTTTGGATTTTACGAGACTGGAAAGGTACGTGGGGCATTCACCGTTTAAATACAGATTTTAAAAGCAAGGGGAAGAACTTTAAATTGGATACCTTGAATTACTGGCAGCCAGTGAAAATTGCGGAGGATCGGAGTAATCTCTTTGTAAGGTCTTGAGCGGGTAACTAGACGAGCGGCAGTATTTTGGATACGCTGAAGAGGAACAAGGTTGGAGGGTGGAAAATTAACAAGGAGGCCATTACAGTAGTCTAAATGGGAAGTGATTAATGCATGTATCAGTCTTTCTGTAGTGGGTATATCTAGAAATTTCCTAATTTTACCAATTCTGTGGATATCATAAGATGCAGCTTTACATAATCTCCTTTATAGGTATGTGAGCTTTCACATTGAGAGCAGTGTTTATGGTAACACCCAGGTTTTTGGCCGATTTAGAGGTATACAATTTTGTGTCATTTAAGACAAAATCTGGCAAGGGCAAAGTGATAAGACCCGCCCTTCCTGTCATCAGTAGGTTCCAGTATGCTGTAAACTATGGCAGCATGGCTTTTAGTCGCGCCTCACTGTTTTATGAAACATTTTACACCGTTCTGTCGTTGTCTGCAGAGTATAGCTTGGAAAAGCTGCTTCAGGGATTACATGTATCTTAAATCTGATGATATTGATGAAAATTTGTAAACGTTGATACTTATCATTATTTGATTTATTTATTTCTCTGTATGGTCTTTTCCAAAGGTACAAAACTAATTACAACGTAATAATGATATTGAACGAATCATATAATCAAAGAGAAGGTCGAGTTCTGGGAAGAGGTGAAAAATAATTTGTGAGCGTTACTCATTCTTATTATGCAAGTGTGGAAGAACATCAGATAAGACATGTTCCCTGAAAAGCATGGATCTCCAAATGCCTTCATATTCTAAATATGCATGTAACATCGTAAAAATCGGGGGGGGGGGGGGCCGGCTTTTTACGCCACGTGTTCGTGTAGTCCCATATACATCTTTCTGTGTACAGTGTTTGTAACTTTACCAAGACTTGGCCAAATTTCTTATCATTTTGATGATTCCAGAACCTTGCAATACACACAAATTCTTACATTGTATATGCTAGATGATCAACCTTTTCTGGTCGGTTCCACACCGTTTCTTTCACAATGCAATCGCATGACCAGAATTCAACTTCATCTTTAATACATCATCAAATATATCTAACCATTTAAAGAGGAAAAAAGGAAAGCTACATGTACATGAACATGGGTTGGTTACCCCCCCCCCCCCCCCCCCCCCCTCTCTCTCTCCCTCTCTCTCTCTCTCTCTCTCTCTCTCTCTCTCTCTCTCTATTATTCACCTGGATACACCCTGCAGACAATAGTATTGAAGGTATATTGTTCATTGGGTGAAAGGTTAGATTGGGGAATACCCGAACCCTTTGCCTAATAATTTCTGCACTTGAGGAAGCCAAAAATTGTTTCTACTACCCCTCAGATACAACAAATTGGTATGAAATCAAGACATTGAAATTAATTTCCAATATTTCTTACCAGTTTAGCTGAGATTGTCGGTGTATGCAGGAGATATCCAATAAATGTTAGAACTGTCACAGACACAGACTGAATTGTCTCTGTACCATAGAAGAAAAATCCTTGCAGAAATATGACTTTATGACATCCTCTTTCACATTATAAAATTTAAGTGAATTTTTGCCATCAAATTTGTGGAGCTCCCAACACTTTAGGGGCAATCCAATTTTTTAATGAAGCAGGACAAAAATGAGAGAAACAGAATGGCTAAAGGTAGAAATAAATTGGACCAATAATAACAAAATTATGAGTGTTTGAAATAGTATTAGATTAAAAAAAATCAGTGCATTGCAAATTGATAATATTGTCATTGGATTGTGAAATAGGCCTACTCATGGACATGTCATTGTCATTGGATTGTGAAATAGGCCTACTCATGGACATGTCATTGTCATTGGATTGTGAAATACTCATGGACATGTTTGTAGTGTAGTGTACACAAACATCATAAATTTCAGTTTTTATCCTAAGTGCCTTCTCCCTTGGAGCATGATGTCTCTATATATTGTGGGTAGCATATTATTAAATGTCCTCTAAAAAAAGAAAAGACCCTCCTGACTCAATTGACATTTTGGTTATTTTGTGTGATGGAATGAATGGGAAAGTGTCACACTGACACTGCCTATTCAGGCAATTTGAAGTACCCAGATGTATACTAGTGATTTACAACTTTAAAAATTCTTAACTGTTGTCATTTTTGTCCAATTTCATTCAAACTTTCACCAGTTTGCTGCTTTGATTTGTCTGCTTTCTTTTTAGAGTAGTTCCCTGTAAGAGACTGTAAGAGACAACAATGACCAGCAGACTTAAATTGCAGTTTCTTTCGGATATTTACTTTTAAATGATTCACAAACCAAGAGTGGAACATCAAAATATTTAGAATACCGGTATGTATCTTTTGATACAAGTGGAATACATACTGTACACCTGTACATGTACATACATACCGGAGTGTTGGCTCAGTCAGTAGAGCGTCCGCCACACAACCGGGAGGTCGTGGGTTCGAATCCCGGCCGCGTCATACCAAAAGACGTTAAAAGATGGGAGTTGTTGCTACCTTGTTTGGCGTTCAACAATAAGGGATAGAGCAACGTCGATCTGGCGCTGCTCAGTGGCTGCCGGGCTCACGATCAATTGGGCAAAAAGAATTTCCGTTTCGGTTTAATAAAATTTGGAGTGGACTATTAGGCTATTATTATTATTATGTACATGTAAAAACAATTTTAATAAGTTTCATTCCAGTTTCCTTTTTCCTTATATATTTAGGTCAGAAATATTGTGAAGTGTTGGAATACTGTATCTCTTCTCTTGTTGCATTTATTTCTATTCCATGAGAAGAATTAGGATGAGTAATTTGTTGCTATGTCAGGTAAAATAAATACAATTTTTGGCAAGCTTTCTGGTCATCATGGCCTACCTTGGGAGGAGGGGATGTTACGAGGGATTTTTAACCTACAGGTAGATGCAAATTAGAAGAAGAAAATCAGATTAGTGTGTGGGAAAGGGGACAGGTCATGATCCCATCATTACCTTTTCAAGAAATCATTTTCTTCTGATTGTAGCCCTACATCCCCAGACCAACCCCAAGCTGTCAGCCATCTGGACACAAGCAGTCAATGTGATCTTCAGGTAGAGAGTGATGCAGACACTGGCAGTGTCACGGCAGAGTCTGTCTCTTCCACAGAATACAAGCTCCGAAGTAGGCCCAAGACTGCAGTAAGTCACTAGAATCTTGATTTGTCATACATATTCTGTGGTAAAATCACTTTCAGATTCTCCACCAATTTCTCAATTTCCTAGGAAATTTAAATTGATTTTTTGAAAATTTTGAAAATGTTCCAGAATTCCAGATAGAGAAACCGTATGATATGTATTTTCAGATGTTGTGGAAATTTCACCATGAAATCACTGTCATGTTCTTCACCAATACCTCAAGCTTTAAAAAAAAAAGATACAGAGACAATAGGATTTAACCATAAATTTCTAATTGAATTTGTATATAATGAATTGATATGTTATTAATTTATAAATCCACCTGGTAGCCCGAGAATTGAATTCCTTGGAAAGTAGAGATTAAAAAAGTAAAAAACCTAATGGAATATTTATTAACGTTCTTTGAAAATGGTAATATCTAATATCACATACTGTACCTGAAAATGTATCTCTCATGTAATATCACCATAACATCATTTTCTTTTCGTTTTCAGCCAAATCATTTCAGAACCCAGACGGCTCCTTCACGTCTTCAAAGACACAGGAAGCCAGCTAAGCCTTCTAAACCAAGACATAAACAAGGTAAAATATAAACATTCTCTCTCTCTCTCTCTCTCTCTCTCTCTCTTTCTCTCTGTCTCTTTCCGTCTGTCTGTCTGTCTCCAATTCCTTGACTTCTGTATCTCTCTCTATCATGCCCTCACTCTCTCCCTCTTGCTCTATCTTTCATTCCCTATTGCTCCTCCTCTTTCTCCCTCTTTCTCCCTCTTTGTCTCATTCTGTCTGTCTGTCTTCCATCCCTTGATTTTGGTATCTCTCTCTCTCTCTCTAAGCATTATTCCCCCCCCCTATTTTTGTTGTTGACTATATCCATTTCGAATTTTCGATTAATCAAGAAACCCCCAACAATCGTCCCAAAGTTGCAAGCGTTTTTGTGTGTACACCACAATCAAAATTGTCTTAATAGGGATCAACAGTATACGGCCTGGATGTTCCTGTGTTCCTGTACATGCTTAAGTGTATGATTCTTTATCTGGACAGAATATTCAAGGATTTCCTACTTGAAGATAAAAACAAAAAGAAGAAAGATATAGCTGGTAAATAGAGTCTCTACAATGCAGCGAGGAAACACAACAATATGAGGATTGTTAGTCATGCAGGATAATAGTACTGCTAATGGGTTTTAAGGGGATGAGACTTTCATTGTTCACTTTTAAGCTGTGCTTGTGACTCACTTAAACCTCTTTTATAATAAAGAGATTGTGACTATGACATCCACCAATGATCCTGTCTACCATACAGACCCAGGTAGTAACCTATTGAGTAGGATTTGTTAGGAGTAGGGTTATTCTATGCTTGTACTATATAGGCCTACTTGTGCAATATCATAAGCCTTTAATATACAAATAATGAATGGTTATGAGTTCAATAGTGCGAATATTTTCATGAGTTGAAAGATTAACATTCTATTCAACGAGGCGTCAGCCGAGTTGAATAGAATTAATGTTAATCTTTCAACGAATGAAAATATTCGCACCATTGAACGAATGAATAACATTCATTATTTGTTTTATACAACATCGAAGAAGATCTAATAGAATGTCAATCAACAAATTATGCTTTACTCCTTATAAAAGATAAATTAAAGTTGGATTCAAGCCTTCTCGATTACATTCAGATTGCCTTCGCGTCAGATACACGCAGGGATACGCGCGCGCGCACGGCAGAGAGGTACGCAGTCTGCATATAACCAAAAATGCACGGCGCATATAACCAAAAATGCACGACCGTGCAATATACCATCTATTGAATATCATGTGACCAACAATCCTCCAATCAAATGACAGGGATTCACGTAGGTGTTGTATAATATGGGATAATTTGGTCAAAGAATTTGAATGCAGACTGAATTTATTGTTAGCTGACTATCTAGCTGGGCTTTTCATTTTGGGGAGAGTGTATGAAAGAAAAGAAAACAGGAAAAAGAGTCATATACATTATCTCAAGAATATTCAGGCTGATGTGCAATAACAGCAACACACTGAGTATGTTAGCTTTAAAAGATATGTAGAATTTCATTTTAGGGTCTACTATTTATTTTGGTGTCTATGGTATACTGTATGCATGATACAGGGATTTCTTCATAATTCTGGTTGAAAATATAGGAGAATTAAACTGTTGGATGTGATTTGATTTGTTATAAAACACATTTTTGATAGACTCCAGTCACTCCATCCCTAATAATCTCAAGATTAACAGGGTTAATCAGAGCTGCCAACCATTACCGGTATGTTTTTCCTGGAATTAATCTGTTTTTTCCTCCAAATTAGGGTAGTTCGTTTTTTCTTCAAAAAAATATTTTTTTAAAATATTTTTTTAAAATATTTTTTTTAATTAAAACAAAATAAAAAAATAATTTGTACATACCGCACAACAAACAACTGCCCTAGAATGTTGATTTGATCATAAATTCAATAGACAACTGAGGTAAAAACATATTTGAAGATAAAATTATTCTCAAGATGAATGAAATGCCGATAGTACCAAAATAACAACAACAAAAAATACCTACTTGTAAATAAACTATAGGTCCTAATATGGAAAAAAAAAGCATGAGGAATGGACATTCCTGCATTGGAAATGTGTCGCCCTTGGTTGTAAGTTTCATTTTAATGAATTCCTTTTTTGGTTCGCACAAGGTTGGCAACTCTGGTTAATAATGATCTATCCCTCCCTTCTCTTTTTCTTACAGGCAATTCAGCAGACAACATATCAGATGTCTCATCTGAATCCTCCTCGCTAGACCGGGCCTACACCCATCGCATCACCAGCCAAGTCTCCCGCGATGCCCCCGGCTTCTACGAGTACCACCGACCCTACTCGGTCTACCGCAAGCCGCTGCGGCGCCCTCTCAGTCTTCCCACGGCATTTGACGACAGTCCGAAGCTGAACCACCCGGACCTTGACCCCGGTCAGAGGGAGTATCTGTGGCATACGGCGAGTGTGTACAGCGTGGGTAACCTGAAACAGCTTCAGCAGAGGAGATACAAACAGATTCTAAATCACCAAGTAGAGACGGGTATGTATCCTCTAGGTCTCTTGATTTTAAAGGGGTGTAGCATGACGAGACTACTTGTCTTTCCCATGACCTGACTTGGGGCCAATCGGTATTATACGACTACGGACGAACAAAAAGTTTATCACGGTCTATTTGTTTACGTGCAGTTGTCCAAAAGAAGTCGTAGATGGCGTTAACCAGTATTTGCCATGCTACACCCCCTTTAATCACTTCTATGCCTCCAAGATTATGGAAAATTGCCATGAACTCTAAAGGTTAACTTAACTTTGTTTCCCTGTAATTGAAATAAACTGCACAAGAACCTAGGCATTCTTATTCCAAATGCATTGTTCAACCCTCAAATTCTCAGACTGAATACATGTATGTACAATGTATAATTGTATCCCCCGGCAGTATGCCGGTGGGGTACTTTGGATTCAGCAGCGTTACGCCGCCGCCGCCGCCGCCGCGTCATATTCTTGTGTGCGCTCTCACTGCCACATTTCTTGATGGATTTCTTTCAAATTTTGTATGGAGGTGTATCCTGGTATAATCTACATACCTATAACTTTTGGTGATGCTGCCCCCAGTGTTCCGTCTTCTATAGGGTACAAGGCCATATTTCTGTGGATGGTTTGTGTGCGCTCTATAGGCCACATTTTTAAAGGGATTTTGTTCAAATTTTGAACGAAGGTGTATCTTGGTATAATCTACAAGCCTATAGATTTTAGTGATGCTGCCTCCAATGTTCCGTCTTTTATAGGGTCAAAGGTCATATTTTGATAGATGTCTTGTGTGCACTCTAGTGTGCGCTCTAACTGCCACATTTCTTGACGGATTTCTTTCAAATTTTGTATGGAGGTGTATCCTGGTATAATCTACATACCTATAACTTTTGGTGATGCTGCCCCCAGTGTTCCGTCTTCTATAGGGTACAAGGCCATATTTCTGTGGATGGTTTGTGTGCGCTCTATAGGCCACATTTCTAAAGGGATTTTGTTCAAATTTTGAACAAAGGTGTATCTTGGTATAATCTACAAGCCTATAGATTTTAGTGATGCTGCTTGTATTAAGGTTCATTATAGTTTACTCTAGACCTCCACAAATTTGGTGCTGCTACCCCCCAGTATTCCATCTCTTATAGGGTCAAAGGTCATATTTAAAGGAATATCTTGTGTCGCTATGCAAATCACATTTCTTTCAAATTTTCTATAAATATGCATCATAATCTGATCTACACACCTATTGTTTTGGTGATGCTGCTCCTAGTCTTGACAATAGTCTGAGCCACTTGCGGCAATCTCTACGTCATCCTTTTGTTTCACAAAGAGGAGAGGGAATCTTTGTCCCTTCTTCCACATAAGGATAACACAAAATCGCTGCCACTGCCGGGGGATACATTCGCATTGCGCGGCAATACAGATTGCGATATTTCTAGTTTAGTTTTTTTTTTAAAGGAGGGGAGGGGAGGCGCTTTGAGTTTTGCTTCTTTTTTATAAGTGTTTGATGCCGACAATGCTTTATAAATTTTAGCCAACTAGAGGTTATGTCAGAGAATGCATGTTAAAACTACAGAGTGTACTATGTAATCTCTAGTATTATTAAAACATTTCAATTAATCTAATCTATTTCTTTGGCAAAACAATTTACAAAACAAGTATCTTTATGCATACCTAAAACTGATCTGTGAGACAATCTTTAACCCCGAAAGGAGTGGGGAGCTGCCCCTGCTTTTAATTTCTTGATCGCTATACAACACCAACAATTAAAATTCCCTTAAAGAGACAATAAAAGAAACAATGAAACATATAAAAAGAGCAAAGCTATCAGTATTGTATACTGACAAGTAATTTGTAATACTTACAAGGAATATGCTATGCATCAATGTATATTACATATGTCTCATTCATTATTTCTCTGCAGGTTTTCATACAAAGGAAGAGTGTGATAGATACTATAAGTACTTGATGGGTACCAGAAAGCAGCAGTACGCGGCTGACACCACTGTATGGAGATCTCCGCCCAAACTACCCGTCCGGCCCAAGCAATTCCAGAGGAGACCTCGTGCACAGGAAGAGGTCGAGGAGACAAGGAGGGTCAACACAGGTTACTACAGAGGTCAAAAGTCAAAAGGTAAGAAAATTTCATTTTCTTTCCATTTTTATACCTTAGAATTATTGTCTCCTATGCGACTGAATATTCTCTTCATTCTTAAAATTGTATGTCAAGTTGCTTTAATTATAATAGTATACAAATGTTGACTGCTTTGAGGGGCATGGTAAAAACTATGCCCGAGGTGAGCTCGCAACTGTGCTTTGCCCGAGACGTCAATAATCGGCTTCTATACTCATTCAGAGATGCCAACCAGTACGATTAAATCGTATTTAGTACGATAATAAGAGTGAAATACGATCTTAAAATCTTAAATTACAATTTTTCATCATTTTTTCCAAAAAAAATACACAAAAACAAAAACAAAATAAGAAAAGGAAAAAAAACCACCATAAAAACAGCAGAATCGCATAGAAACATGTACAAGTAAACCCCCGCAACCCCAACAAAAAATTTGCTTTACAATTTTCTCATTAAATTTTAATGAAAGAGCAAACATTTTTCTGAAATTTTACTTGCCCGGGGCCGATGGGCCGTGAAAGTCTGATTTTTCTCTCCAAAATCTGATTTTTTAGGATACTCAGTCTGTTTTTTTGTGTCAAGAGGTTGCCATCTCTGCTCATTGTTACTAGTATCTTTGTCAGATATTATGTATTTGTAGTCGCGAATGCATCATTATGAGTCATTTGATTTTGTTACAATTTATTTTCCTTCATAACCAGAAGTGATTGTAACCGTTGATATGAATTTACAAATATCTTGTGACAAGCTTTCAAATTGACTGATCAAACATGATTTTTGTTTTGTTTCTTTCTTTCAGAGAAAGGCTCCAAGGAAAACTTGAATGATTCAATGGAAAAACTGAGTCTGGTCTACAGCACCGATCTCAAGAGAACACTCCCGAGAAAACGCAAGGACAGTGTAGAATAGACATATGGAGAAACTGAGTCTGTTCTGCAGCATGGACTTGAAGGTAACACTTCCTAGAAAACACAAGGACAGTGTGGAATAGAAGTATGGAGAAACTGAGTCTGTTCTGCAGCACCGATCTCAAGAGAACACTCCCGAGAAAACGCAAGGACAGTGTGGAATAGAAGTATGTAGAAACTGAGTCTGTTTTACATGACAGTCTTCAAAAGAATACATGTTAGGAAACACAAGGACAGTGTGGAATAGAAATATGGAGAACCTTAGTCTGTACCACTACTTAGACTTCAGGAAGCACAAGGACAATGTTGAATAGAAGAAGAAAAAAATATTTGATAAACTTTATTGTGTGTATTCTTGGCAGTAGGGAATTCTTCAAGTGGTTCCATGCTATGTCTAGCACAAGAATGTGGTGGTTTCTTTTGAGAATATTTAATTCTATAGGATTATCTTATTTATTCTTGGGTATTATGATTACCGCACTGCTGAATCCTGCAAGGCTGCAAGGCATGTTTCAGAGCAGTCATGATGGGTATCCACCAAAGATAGAAGCTTTGTACTTCATCATCACTGCCACTCCGTATTCAATGCTGAAGTGCCATACTTCTTGGTTTCAACCAAGGCTAACGGAGGACAACCCTACATGTACAGTCAAACCTGCTTCAGTGACCACCTGTTTACAAAGACCACATTCTTTGTTTCCCTTGAAATTGGTTTCTCATTGAAACATGTACTAAAGAAACCTGTCTACAAAGACCACCTTTTTTGTTTCCCTTGGGCAATCGCTATAGACAGGTTTGACTGTATATCAAATCTGTACTGTACATGGCTTCATGAATTGAACTTTCAAGAGGGTGCAGGATATGAAGTTGCAGTCATACTCCAGTCCCACCAACGAGACCGAGGCCAGACCGACGACACAGCAGACAGGAAATGGGAAAGAATCGGTGAGGGGGTGGTATGCAGTGTGACTGAGGAATCTCCAAGGCCAGACCGTATTGCATCTTATTGATGGCCAGTGTGCTGACCCTGGTCAGGTAAATGGGTACCTGGTAGGATTATTCCTTGAAATGCACAGTGCGATGATAACGGCTGCCGGAGCTAGGGTAATAATTTCCAAAGCTCTTTGGAAGTGCCTGGGGACGTTCTTATGTGATATGCGCTATACAAGAACTGAATATCTTTATCATTATTAAGTTTCTGAAAGTTTATAATATCAGTAGTCTTCCAAACATTTTAGCTGCACTTTTACAATTTGTCCAGTCCTATTTTATGCAAGTCCATTCTTTGATGCCAAATAGAATGTTTTAGGAGTAGGATTAATTGTCTACATTAAAAATGATATTTAAAACCTTTGTTTTTCTTTAGCACAAATGATTTATCTTAACGTGAGTTTGACACATGAAATTGGCTGCAGAATTATGCCAGTTCTTCCAATTATGGATTTTACACTGCATCTTTTGCTTAACAAGCAGAGACGCTACATGTACATACATGTTTATGAACATGCAAAGAACTTTCTTTTGGTGTAACAGTGAACTGGGATGTATAGAAATGTAACTTGAATTCAGCTTGGTATTCATGGGATTTGTCGAATTTATATGTTTTTTATTGGATGAAAAAAAAGAGTACGGTACTACTACAATAGGCATATACATCAGTACACTAGTGAATTTGTGAATGCTTGGTTAATCGCATCTGTTTCCTACATTTTTGTAGTTCTAATGTTCATAATTTCATTATGTTGAAATAATCCTGATTTTTATGAACCATAGGAAATCGATTGTCTAATCTATCATTTTTTTATTTTTTGTAATGCATCCTGAACCGTGTGTTGCTGTGAAATATGTTTAAGTAATAATGTGCCTACGACAGAAATTTACGATTCATTTTGGAAATAGATTTAAGTGCCTAGTTTTATATCTTCGTGGGAATAATGTTTATACATGTATAAGGTGACATAGAGTGTATTCATGCAAATTTGTATTGCCTAATTCTATTGTCATCTTATTCAAATGTTTTATATGGTGCCTTGTATCATGCTGTATTCCTTAGCATATGAAGATATTTCACCGTGTGCATACAGCGTTTTTAATGAGGTTACGTTTAGTAACATGTTAGGAATCACGGCTTGCTAAAGAAATGCATCACTCCACCGCGGTCTTGGATTGGTCTTAATTATTAAACATGATTTAAAAATCTGCTGCATAGGCAGTCCTTTATCTTGTTTTCTTTCTGTGCAGTGCCAACTTTGTTTTGCAGATAGTTTATATGTTATAGTATACCTTTTGTTCTTCTTTTGATTGTTGTAAATAATGGTAGAGGCAGAACTTTTAACAGTATTCATCAATTTCAGCTTTCCAAAGAGTATGTGTATAGAGAAAGAAACTATTTTGAGTAGATGGTAGAGAGTGTATATGATACATCAATTTTTTTCTCAAATTAAATTAAATACTTCTGATAGATATTTGTGTTGATTGACTGTTTCATTTTTCATTTCTTGTAGTACTTGTAGTTTATGGAATTGTAATACTTTTCAAAGATGAATTGGCAAGAGACAGGGTTAAACGAAGGAAAGGAAAGAAGTAAATGTGCAGGCAAGAAAAGAGAGATGGGCAGAGAGAGTGAGAGGGAAAGGGAGATGACAGATGCATGAGGCCATGCAAGATTAAAATGATAGGAGAAAAAGGGATGGGAGAGAGAGACAGAGAGAGAATGAAACCCGAAGAAGGAGAAACAATGAAATGTAATTAAAGCCAGAGGGGAGAGGAAAGCAAAGAGAAAGGGGGGGGGGGGGAGGGGTGGGAGAATATTAAAGATAAAATTGTCACAAGAGAGAGAGTGAGCACGAATATGCAAAAAATAACAAACTACATGTATAGAGCATGAGTGAGGAATACATACATACAAACCTGAACACAAAAGTAATGTCTGTACATGCATGTAGTTTATTAATTTATAATCCGAAACATAAAATCATTCTTGTTTTACCAATTTGTCCTCATTCCCTACACAGAAATGACTCCTGTTAAGTAGTATGTTGAATTTAAACATAGGAAGGTACGAGTATGAACATATCAGCATACTTTATCCAAATCTTGATCTTAAATTTGAATTATGAAAAGGTGGTTTTACAATTAAAATCAGTCCTACTATGGCAATGAATAATATTCTACCATGAAATTGGTAAAACTATGAAACATCTGACTCCCAAAAGACAATGTAGATATTTATCACCTGCAAGTACTAGTGAATGTGTGTAGTTGGCTTTTGACAGACGTGTATCATTCAGACGTGATGATTTACGTCTACTCAGACTTATTAATATTCATCAGTAATCTCTGTGCATTTAGCAGTAGATTATCTAGATTCCTTTTTACCCTATTATGGAATTAAACCCCAAACTAAATATAATTTACAGTTCACAAGAATCAGTAAACATTTACATTGCTATTAACTTTTTCCATACAAGCTAGTATTTTACTCGCATTACAAAATATATAAATGTACTACATTTTGCTTTGTTAAAACAGTCACCTAATATAGAAGTCAATATCTTTTTATTAAAGATATACATATTAGCATTAGCTATAGACATGTTATATATATGTACAATAGAAACAAATATAATTCACTTTTCTAAACACAAATAGATCATATAAAAGTTACTTTTATGCTCTATTATACTGAAATTCTTAATCCATGATACATAATAAATGAAATTAAACATGAAACAGCTTTAATCTTGATCCAAAACCAAGCCCTTTGAGTTGAGATTCCATATTCTAAATTAAACCCATGCTAACATATTCTAATGAATAAAATGGAGGTTGATTGTGGTTGAGAAATATTAAAAGATTAATGGACTTATACTGGAAATGAACTTGTAGACTGTAAAATCAAGGAAAGATATTGTCTGTTTGAAGCCAGAAGGGCGTTAACTCATATAATTTAACACATAGTTAACACCCTTCTAGCTCTCAACACACACAATATATATGCTTATTGCATGCACATACCGGTAGAATATCTAAATGCACTCCATCATTATACATAAATGTACTATCAATGAAACAATGATGTAGTCCAAAGTCAAGTAACTGTTTATACATTTGCTGTCGTATGCCACATATACAATGTATATCAAAATAACCATCCCCAAACAATTAGGAAATAGCACATTCCTTTCTCTGTGTCAATTCCATTTTACGCAACAATGAATTAAAATACATTGGCATTTCATTTCACATAATACAATAGGATTTGAACTCCATTTATCTATGATAATTAAAATTCACAAAGGGCTTCAGGCATTACAAAATTACTGTGTTGCATTAGTCTTACTTATAAATTGCTCCTTTTTTCCTTAAATTTTCTTTTCTGTGCACATTCTGGGTATAGTTTTGGTGTGATTCTACCAGCATATAATTTTAAAAATAAAAATTGCTGATACAGTATGAGGCAAAATAAAATTGACCAAAAGACCAAACCGTGGTCCCAAGGCCTGACACAAGTTTACCCCCTCAACGTCATCTTTTTGAATGTACACTAACAGACTATTATTGTAATGTATCATATGTACCATACAAGCAGACATTGCACACTGTAATTGTCAGTATATCAAGTACCGGTAAGGATAAAGAGTCAACAGTATTCTACACGTAGGTGAAAAGAAGCACCTGTATAAAAAAGACATCAAATACATTACAAAAATGGTCTGCTTCTGTCAATGCAATATCAGTAAATAAGTGAAAATTTGTATTTATTTTTATGCTCTACTAAAAATGGGGTAAGCCTTTGCCGAGTCAAAACGAATTGCTGGTTGTGTCTCTTACACGGGGGACAAACAACTGCCCACTGCTCTTGTATACATCTCAGATGATAAACACTTCCTTGGTAAATGGAGAACATCTTGAGTACGAAGGGAATTTTCTTGCTATTCATCCGAGATGACTGGGGGGTGATGAGGAGCAATGTTACATCTTTGGAATGCATCTTTCTTCTAAGCAATATTTCAGTTCTTTTTGTATTCTATCCTCTCCACTTTGACATCGTCTCCCATGAGCTGGTAGACGTACGTGACGACCGTCGATGCCTGGATGTCCATCAGTACAAACGATGGGACGGTGTTCCTGAAGGGCGATAAGATGAAAGCGGAAAATAGGACTAAGTGTGGGAAGCACAGTGAGTGACTTAGCACTGTAAAATGTAAAGTCTAAAAAGAGGTCTTCTAGATTTAAAAAAAAAGAAAGAAAAATAAACTTAAAGATTGCACTCAAGCAAATTTTAAAGAGGTCCCACGACTAAAGAAGATATTTTTTCTTCTTCACCCTTGTGAGATGTTATGTCTATAAAAAGCATTTCTGACAGGGGTAAATACTATTATACAAATGCTTCTAGCCTAATAACAAGGCACAAGATTTGAAGCACACTTTACACTTACAACAATGAAAAAGTAACAGAAGTGTACACCCTTTACATATACATGTACACTTCAGTTTTTCATTATTCTTGGTCAGCAATCTTGATATACCATGTAATTCGGTTTCAGTTTGGCACTGCACCAACTACATCAGCTTAGTGATTTTACCCCCCTCATATACAGGTGACTTAATGCTATTCTTACCAGATTCTTGTTTACTTCTATCCAAATACATATATACATGAATATGGACAACAACAACAACAAATGTACACTTACGCATCTAGAGCACTGTAAGCCCCTGTCGCTGAGCCAGGATTGATGTAAAATTTGCCTTCGTGTTCGTAAGCCTCAAATTTGTGGGTGTGGCCCGAGATGAGAATGTCTACGTCGAGCTGGCGCTGGACCATGGACAGGCTCTCCACGTCGCCCCAGGGGATGACCTGGTGACCGTGGCAGATACCCACTCGGAACTGACCGACGGTCACTACCTTCTGCTCAGGATAAGACACCGTCTGACAATGCAAAAAAAATGAACATATCATAAAATCATTGTATGTCATAAATTTTCACTGTTCCATCTTTTTCATACATGTACATGTAGTTGCATATTAAGCTTAATAATCACATAACCTCAGAATAATCATAAATGAATCAAGTTATGAACTTATCAACCTCCGAATATTTTCCTGGTAACTATCGCATCTGATCAATAAAATTTCCAGGTAAAAAGAGATTGAAAACCTAAGCAAGGCCTGTTGATATACTCTTGTCTACCAGTTGCTCTATAAGGCTTCTTTCTTTGTTCAAATCTTTTCCTGTTTTAGATATTGACATGACCCTGTTCCCTCTTTTTGAAACCTTCATCCTAATTGTATCATGAGTTTCATGATACTATTGTAACAATCTTATGATGATCAGCATATTATAAAGACAGAAATCTTGACTAAGAGGTATAGAACATTTAACATGACAGGTTTATCCCTTAGCCAAATTATTTTGTTTAGTAGTAAAACTTCAGCTAATATCAGCTTGCATACTTTTTTCAGGGGTGATGGTGAGCACTAACAAAAAAAAAACAAAAAAAAAGTTTTTTTCTTTCTTCAACCATCCTCGTCCCCCCCCCCCCCCCCCCCCCCCCATTCGAGTAAAAAAAAAGAAAATTCTGGGGAAAAGAAATGGCAACAACATTCTCCTCCACTCCTTTTAGGTTAGCAATTGGGGGGGGGGGGGAAATCAGGGAAAAGAAAATCTGGAAACAAAATAATTGGGAAATCGATTTAAATCAGGTAATTATCAGGCCTGTTTAATGCTCATTGTTTGACTATATCTAACATGGAGCAACCTACGTGATGTACAATAAATGAAACAATCATTACAGATTTATTCAAATTTGCATTTTAATGCATGATTAAATCTTACCACCTACCTCATCAAAGTCTCCCCTGACGATGTGGACATCACTGGCCAGAGTCTTGAGGTAGTCCTGAGACTCCTTGGTACACAGGTTTCCTGTACATAGGATGTGCTGGATCTTCCCTGGGACCAGGAGCTTCTTGAACTTGGCAGGCAGGCCACTCTGCCGATGGGGAACGTGGAGATCTCCAAGCACTAGAACCAACTGAGAAGAAGAAAAAAAAGACATAATAATAATAACAATAATAATAATAATGATAAGGTAATCATATACGCATATTCCATATACCGGTACATGTTCAAATGCGCTTAACAATTATGTTGTTAAGAGAAGAGGTGATTTTTAAAGATATTTTTTTAAGGTATTGAGACTTGAGAGACTGCTGGTTGTAAAGAAATCTGGGTAGGTTATTCCACAGTTTGGACTTTGCAAGCAACAGTTGTAAATGCTCTGTCACCAAGTGTAGGAAGCATCTTGAAAGACGTTCATGTATGGTTCCGTGTTATGATAAATATCAATTAATCATCATTCATCTTGAAAAACATAACCATGAGGGTTTGGTAATAAACTAATATTAGCTAGTTTCAGAAAGGAACTCGTTGCCAGAGTTACCAGTTTAATTTTGGGTACTCAACAAGTGCACATTGGCTTGCATATAGAGTTCAGTTGATGTGGTTGATGATGACAATTTGAGAACGTTGATCAATTTCTTATCCTGAATCAGGAGTTCAGTTGATGTGGTAATAAACTAATATTAGCTAGTTTCAGAAAGGAATTCGTTGCCAGAGTTACCAGTTTAATTTTGGGTACTCAACAAGTGCACATTGGCTTGCATATATTGATGTGGTTGATGATGACAATTTGAGAACGTTGATCAATTTCTTATCCTGAATCAGATCTTGATATTATATTTTGAATACTAATTGCTTATTGTGGACCTTTCTAACTTATTGAAAACCAAACTGATGCCAAGGAAGAATTGCCTTTTAATAATTTGTGTAGGCATGTTAATAATTTTGTAGATTTTCTCCTTGGCTCTCCTCAGCTCCGTCTTCTTCTCCTAAATTTCCCTCCATCATCTTCTTTCTCTAAACTCTGATCTTCATTACTTTTCTTCTTCCTAAGTTCCTACAGTGTATAAATACCTCTTCCTTTTCTTCTCTTCTTTGTTTATATCTTCCTTTACTGTTATTTCTTTTGGTTTCACACTCTTTTCCTCCTCTGCTCCTTCTCGTAATCTGTGTTCCTTTTCTTTCTTAATCTTACTCTTCCGTTTATTTTTTTCATTCTTTCTTCCTAGATCTATCAATTACCATCTTGTTTATCCCAGTCCTTCCATTCTTCATCCCTATCTTCTTCCTTTCCCCGTCTCTTTAGAGTCCTAGGCTAATCTTCAACTTCAAGTTCTACCTTTTTCTCCTTTTTCTTAATTTGTTTCACATTTCTTCCTTTTTTCATTCTCCTCATTTGCCCCTTCCAATCTCGACTCTAGATCATACTTCTCTCTCTTCTCTTATTTCTTCTCCTCACTGTTTGTTGTCTTTTTTCTCGTTCTTTCCTTGTCTTCTCCTTCTCCTTATTATTCGTCCTCTCCCTCTTTTTACAACCTTAAGTTCAAGTTCAACTTCACATTCCCTCTGTGACTAATCTCACATCTAAACAGGACACAAGAGTAATGCAGTGGGACTGTTTCAACTTTTTTACACGTACAACAAATGAACCATATTATATCGATTCTACGGAGAAAATTACAGATGACACAATTAGATGAACAATTGATATATCATTTACAACATTATTTCAACCACAGAATAAAATATCATTGCAGAGAGCGACAATTACCATATTTTCTAGATGATCACGAGATGACTGCCGGAAAACAGAACTTGACCTCTGTTGACGCCCCGTCCTGTAAAATTAAGTACAGCTCGCTTGATTGGACAATTGCTCTGTAGCGATGAACTATTGACCAATCACATATCACTACACAGCCGTGACCATAAATACACCAAGGCGCTGAATGTGAAAAAGATCACAATCCTGTAAAAATGAAGTGTATTATCCCAGGAAACAATGTCAAAGGTAATGAAATTCGTGCTATTTGGTTTATTATCTCATTTATATGGATGTCCCTTTTAGATCAGACGATGAAATGATCTCGTTTAATAGAAAACATGCACGGTACTGTCAGAATGGGAAAGTTTGGTGTGAAAGTGCAGTCCGAGTCATATGATTTTGTGTCATGTTTAATACTTATGTGCAGAAGTGAGAAGAAAATGGGCTTTCAATTTTGAAACCTGCCTTGATCTTTGTACAATATGTTTGAGTGTTATTAATGTCAGAAAGGGAGGCTTGCATTGCATATTTAAAGAAATAAAGGAAGGCAATGCGGCAACAAGCGGACAAGGCAAAGGGGCAGGCTTCGTTTTCAATTTGTCAAACTGAAGACGTGAAAGTTGAAACGAGCCAATCCCAATGATTTTTTTTTGTGCACTGCAAGTGTGATTGTGCAATAAATTTGATTGCCTTGCAAGTTGCAATGTCATGAGTTGATACTATAAATTTATAATAATCCATCTCAAAAGTTATTATTCTATGCAGTTAATCCGTTTTCCCAAACTGATAATCATCAAATTATGCAGATCTTGCACGATCATTTTATTTATTTCATTCCATTCAAGAATCAAGTTCCCAAACTATTTAATTTGTCCCTTTGAGTTTCTATATTTTTGTTTTTTCTGATCAGTTTTTGGACGAGCCATTCACTGTCTTTCCAAAGTTGGGGAGGATCTTTACATGGAACCATTGGATACAGGCGTAAGTATGAATCATAAATCATGCAAATCCAGAATTTGACAGGCTTTTGAATTCAGAAGTCTGTGGGTTGAACTCTTTGTTCTTCTGAAGGTGGACGTCTGTGTCTTTAGCACCCATGCACACAAAAGCAACATTAGATTTTATTTTGTTAAGGAGCTCTCTCCAGAAGGACTTATTTTATATCCCTGAACTTAACTCCATATATTAATTTGAAAACAGTAGGGTTTATAATGTAGGGTCTATGTTTGCTAAAGCCAGCCAGAGAAAGAAATACCAAGAACGTCTGAATACAGAAATTTAAAGACCAGAACTGATTTGAAACTGTAAGACCATGTTTTGAAACTGAAAGACCAAGATCCGAGATTGTCTAAAGTAATGAGGGTATTGTCTGTCTGTTGGACCCTTGCTAATTGTTTTGTTACATTTCTTCCTGAAATTTTTTACTCAAAAACAAAGAATGACAGCCTATATAACTTAATAGGTCTTTGTAATTATCATCTGACTTGCAGGCTTTGCAGCTGTTTTTGTTTTGAACATTAATATAATCAACATCTGACTTTCAGGTATAAGGAAAAGTTTTCCTTTTCTCTCTATTTCTCTCTCCCTCTTTTGATTATAATCTTTTAAAGAAAGACAATTTACAGATGCCGACTCATCTTTCAAAATGACAGAGTTTTTCTTATGCTCCTATGCCTATTTAATTAAAAAAAAGAAAACAAAAAAAATAGATATCTTTGCTAGTCGCTTCATATAATAAGTAGGATTTTTAGGGTTTAAGGTTCTTGGAAATTCTGTTATTTTTCCACTGAAGCACCATAACCTTTGTATTCTTTCTTTCTCTGTCTTTCCTCAGCTTGCTTTGAGAGCGGTGAACTCTTCTCGGTCAGCTTACTCCTGTTTCCTATTCAGTCCAAGCTTCTTCCTTCGCTATGACGACCAGACAGTGACAGCATCCCAAGCCACTCAGGATGGTGAAGAGACCACCAGATGGAGAGTCACAATGAAGGTGAAATCTACCTCTTTTCAATTTAATATCTTAACGACCGTCTGTACTAGTTTGGCTAGGAGGGATTAGACCACCCAGGGTGGTCACTGACAGGTGGCTATCTCATCAACTCAGCTCTCAATTAACATAAGAAAAAGAGGATCATGGGGGACCAATGGTCACCGATTAGGCACTGTTTTCTATATAGAGGGAGCAAGTAGCTACAAGTAGTACAGTGGGGCTTTAAGCCAAGTGAACACAGTTCCAATTTTGTGGTCCCTGTTGATTCTACTATCTTGGTCCACATCTGTTTTTTTTACTTTTTAAAATCAGGGTATAAAATGACAATCTTGACAATGTGGGAACAAAGAAAACTATGAAGTTGTAATTTCAAAGTTGTTATGTCTAGTCTTGGAGACACACCCAAAGAAGTAGGGGTGCTCACTGAATTTCTTATGACATGATCTAGTGCATGGAAAAATGAAAATTATGAAACTTGTGTTGGAACTGACCCCAAAGCAATTTTGTAATCTATGGCAGCCATCTTGGAAAATTTCTAGTAACATGATGTAGTCCTCAACTTGTGTAAGACAAGTTGGGAGTGCTATTCTTGGCTGTCTAAATTAGAAACTGGATTTGAAAATTATTGTTGAATATTTTGTTAAATTACTTTGCATATTTAGGTTTTCATAACCATTCTGTCTAGCGTATAATATATCAATTTGATGTTGTTAAATGTCTACCGTTAGGAATCATTATCTGATATTTAAGAAGATTTTTTTTAATATTTCTTCAGTCCTGTCTAGCTGTCTTCAAATCACTGTCCAACCTTGAGAAGAATGTAGACAGATGTAACATCAGTCTCGATACGGAGGATTGCCGTCTCGTCTTTCAGCTTCATTGTAGACATGGTAAATAAGCAGTTTTCACTTTTCATTATCATTAAGATAAAGGCATGCATTTATACTAACTTCCCAGAAGTGTATTTGTAGTGAAGATATTAGGGTTTAAATCCAAATCAGAATGATTGGTTATTTTATTAACTATCAATTATCTGGTACCTCAAAAGGGAACTAGTGATACATTTTACATTTTAGTAGTTGCATTATGTTTTAAAAAAAAATTATCCTTAATTTGGGGTGAAACAAAAAACATTGTAAAAAACTAATTAATGTGTTTATCTTCTGAAGTTATATGTTTAGTGTTCATCACTAGTCATCAGTGGCATATTTGTATGTCTTTTGTCCTAGGTGATTCACTTTATCATATACATGTAGACTATCTCAAAAAATTCTGAGCTTTTAAATTCACATATATGATATTACTTTAACATTAACGAATCTAGGAATGCAAAAATTTGATAAGTGTGAATCTTGGAATGAAAAGCTCATTAAGACAATGTTCTTTAAATAAACTACCGTAAACATTAGACCAATACATATTGATTACTGAACTTTTTGTTCCATCTTGACATGCAGGTATTGTTAAGACCTATAACCTAGTCTATCAAGAAACAGAGACACTTCAAGCAGTCTTTTCCAAAGATCTCTGCCCAAATAGGATCACTGCTCCAGCCAAGTAAGTATCAAGCCCACTGCGCACCATATAATCTGAATGCGATCCGATTTAGTTATACTTAAAGAAAAAAAGTATTTGGTATGACAACAAAAAATTGATAAATCTTCTTGATTTCCCTATTCAATGATCAGTAAGAGTAATAAAAATCTCTATATTACAGATGTAGATCTTCATATTTATTAATATTTCTTCCAAAGTTAGATCACATTTGGGTTGTGTTCTGCAGTGAGCTGCCCATTATATCTATCAAGTAAAACTCATTGAATATTAAAGAATTGAGCAAATTACAGGGAGGTTGAGTTTTATATGGAAAGCTAAATTTCTTTTTAGAATGTAATGATGTAACAAGGACAACACTTTCAAGACTCTACAATGTAACAGCACTTGATAATTGATATATATGAAACACTTCATGTTTTTATCTATTTGACGTGATAACTAAAACTTGAGAATTTGTAATTCATTTTTATGTGACATGAATAGATCTGCATTTCATACACGTAACAGTGAATATGATCATTCCTTGAATTATTGCTCCTTGTAGATTGCTTGCGGAGGCAGTAGGAAGCTTTCAATCATCCCAAGAAGAAGTCACCATGACAGTCACTCCTACCCAGCTGGGCTACAAGAACTATGTTGATGATGAACCAGGTAAACTCAGCGTAGAGACATCTAGGCAGCTACTGTAAAAGTAGCAATATATTCGCGGTACATCAATTTTCAGGGATATATTGCATCTCTTTTATATGACGGGTTCCAGGTGTAACATCCACCAGAACAAATTTTTCTTTTCATTGTACAGTCAAACCTGCCTTAGTGGCCACCTCTCTGAGTATTTTGTCTCCCTTGCAAAAAAAAAAAATGTGTGTTGTAGAACCTGTCTAGAAAGACCACCTGTCTACAGTGGCCACCTTTTCTGTTTCCCTTGAGTGGCCTTTATAAACTAGACTCCAGGGGGGTGTTTCACCAAGATTCTAAGTCGAACTTAAGTCTAAGTTGGATTTAAAAATTATGGAGAGCCACTTGTAGGCTTAAAATAAAATATATTCAGCGAAAAGCGAAAATTGAAGTATTTTAGACTTTTTATAAATTCCACATCAAAAACATGAAATCTCCTTGATTATAGAAAATATGAATGATTTGAAACAACATTTTATGCCTTTTAAAATAACTTTTACAAAATATTTTCATAGATGCTAACGGCTTTCCATAATTGTTAAGTCCAACTTAGAGATAAGTTCAACTTAGGACCTTTGTGAAACACCCCCCAGCAGCACCTTCTACTTTGTTTTTGTACTTCTTGTGCAGATCCAACCAAGGTGGTACACTCTGAATTGCGTCTTGTTCCTGATGAGTTCACAGAGTATATGATTGGAGTGGATACAGAAGTCACATTCTCACTCAGAGATCTCAGGGTTAGTACTTTAGTTCAGTACGCAGATTAAGTTAGTATTTTGATTAGAATTTTAATCGGCTATAAAGTGATAATTTAATTCATATTCAAACCACATCTTAACATTTTACTTAAACAATTCGACTTTAGAATACTAGCTGATAAGCATTGTGACATCACATGGTCAATAACAAATTATGTGCAATAAAAAGTGTTGCCGCAAATGCCCACTATTATAATTAAGCGCAGCTTAGGAAATCACGCTGATTCTCCATCGAGGGAGTGACGTATTGTACAGAGGAAAAGCAATATGCTAACAATATGGAACTTGATCAAATACATGATTTCTTTCTCTAGGAATACAGGCTCGTATATTGAATGAAAGTATTTATTGCCTGTGTGATGTTGGGACTGCATTGGGCTTTCATCATACGGTACATCATAATACTGCATGATATAACTAGCTATGCCATGTTTTCATTCTCATTCAAGCAAAAACAAAGTCTCCTTTTCTCCACATTTTTTTCAGGCTATCCTATCATTCTCAGATTCGGCTGGCCTTCCGGTCTCTATTCACTTTGAAACACCAGGAAAGTAAGTCTAAAATATATAACATGTATTGTGCTGAACAATGCCAAATTAAATTTTGGGTCTGACAATCTAGTCTATATCCCCTGGAAGTTAATCATCCTTGAACATGTTTCATCAGAAATGTCCTACATCTCCAAACATGCGTTACCTAAGATGTGCTGCAGACTTTGGGGTACTCATCAGCACATTACAATGTCGGTGGCACCGTGGCAACTGCTAACTTTGAGCCATGCCCTTGCAGATCATGGCTGCAAAGTGATAAAACATTAGTTAATCTTTAGAGGATTTGTAGAAAATGTTGATTTTAAATGTACCTACTAAAATGTATCTAGAAGGTTTTGTTAAATTATCATTACCGCAAATCTCCGTGTATAAGGCGCACCCCTATTTTGAAGATTAAAAAAAAAAAAAAAAAATTGGTTTAAAAAAAAATTCAGGGAAAAAAAAAAAATTCTGTCATCTTTAGTTTTATACCAACATTATTACTAGGTCTAACTTAGTTCCAATCGGCAAGGTTTTGTTGCCCCTTCCGGAGGTCTAAAAACAATAATTATCGGCAAGGTCTTGTTGCCCCTACAGAGATCTAAAAACAATAATTATCGGCAAGGTTTTGTTGCCCCTACGGAGCTCTAAAAACAATAATTATCGTCAAGACTTTGTTGACCCTACAGAGATCTAAAAACAATAATTATCGGCAAGGTTTTGTTGCCGTTTGTAAACGTTTATCACAAAAAACGTAATGATTCAGGCTTATCGAAAACCACTAAAAAGTAGCATTTTTAGGACTCAAAATATCCTGTACCTGTGTATATGGCGCACCCCCGACTTTTGATTTTTGCAGATGGAAAAAAGTGTGCCTTATACACGGAGATTTACGGTAAATGCAATTATTCTATGTGAATGAAACATGAATGAAACATGAAACGTCTACAATCACTTTTGACAATCATGCATTTGGAGAAATTTCTATAGGAATATCACTGCCCGTTGAAAGCAGCAAGTTTTGAAAATGAGCAATGATGATTTTTGTTGTTGAAATTAAAAATGAAAGTTCATCTAACAAAAGATTCCAGCTCCAAGATGTCTGCTTAATACTATTTTCCTCTCTCTCTTTTTCATCCTCTTGACCAGACCTATTGTATTCAGCGTGGAGTCTGAGCAGACGTTGGAAGCTACCTTCGTTCTGGCCACCTTGACCGAAGTGTCCAGTAGTCAGCTGACCGGTGCCTCCCAGCAGGCCAGAGCGAGTCAGGCTGCGTCAGTCAGTGCGAATCCAAGACAGAAGAGTAAGAGCAATCCGAGGAAAAGGTTTGTCATGTTTTAAAAATCAATTTCTATATATTGTTTATGATATTGAATAGCAAAAGAAATTATCTAGGATTCAGTGGGATAGATTGATGATAGTCAGCATAGGAATAATTGTGTGTTGTGGAAAGTTTTGGATACATCAAAACAGACTTAGTTTATGCGGAAAATCATAGACTGTGAGAAAAAAACACTGCTCACAGATATGTGACTACAAACTTGTGAATTCAGAATTTGACCTAGGGTTTCACACTACTTCTCATCAATTTTTACATGTGAGGTCGTTTGAAAAGCACTTTTTTTTCTTGTGACACTACTGGTATAACATTTTTTTTTTACACAAACATGTAGGAATAAACAGAATGTAAAAGTTTTTTTTTTTTTTTTTTTTTACCTTTGACTAAAAAATCAACCTGTGTAGCCATGAAGAGTTTGCAATTCATGAAATTTTCTATATTTTTTCTAATTTTTTCCTTCTTCAATTTTCTTTTTTTCTAACTTTTTCTTCTTCAATTTTCTTTTTTTCTTCAATTTTTCGATCCTATTGCATTCATTGATCATCTTTTTTTCCTACGCTGTGGGGTTGGACGTTTCATTTCCCTTATGGCATTTCTCCCAGCCTTTCGGTCTTCAGCATCCGCCTGGATGAGGCCAGATGCTCTCATGTGTTCTTGTAGGGTCTCCTGTCATAATCAGGGCAGTGTTTCACGAAACCGTTATAAGTACAAGTTCGACGACATCCCATTGAAATGCGTGTATTAAAGTTTACACTCATGTCGATGGGATGTCAGCAAACTTGTACCAAGGACGGTTTCATGAAACGATGCCCCAGTTGCCAGTTGTGCATTGGCTATTTTGGATTATGCAAGGTAATGATATTCTTGACAGAAATTAAGTAATCTGGTTTTCTACCTCTACATTCCATTTTAGATCAACTGCCGGCCCAGGTCCCAGGAAGAACAAACCAAGCAATAACGGAGATGGTAGGAGAACACCTAATGGACATACAACAAGGTGAGACTTCTATGTCCCCATTCCCCTCTCAAATTATACAATGATGTTATAAATGTATTTATATCCATTGCTGGGCAGTGTGGAGTGCGCCTGTAATCCAGCTAACAATGGAACTTACAAACTGATTCAGCCAAGGATGCAGGTTCGAAACTGAGTCACGTCTTTTGGATGGTGACGTTTAAAGGTCGGCCCCCAGACGTAAATAATCATATCTGATTGATAATCATCTGTAATAACCCAATACACACACGCTACGAATGCATTAGTTGGATTAAAAGAGAATGATCAGAATTTAGCTTGAATAATGGAGGTGATGATGATGATGATGTTAATGTTGAAGAATTTAATGACGATGATGATGATGAAAATTGTGATGGTGATGATGATTATCATGATCATGATGAGGATGACAGTGACAGTGATTGTGAGGGTGACGATTATGGTGATGATGATGATGATGATGATGACAATGGCGATGGCGATGGCGGTGATGATGACGATGATGATGATGATGATGATGATAATGTTTGGCAAATCCGTTATGACGAATTATAAAATCTGTCTATTTTGACAACCAACTATTTCACTAATCATTTTTGTTTTCTTGATCACCCCAGAGATGAATATGAAGATGAATTCCCAGATGATCTGATGGCTGACTTGTTGAATAGGAACGAAAGGACAATGAACCAAGGGAATAATACAGGTTGGTAGTCTATTGAATGGGACACGTTCCTAATAAGAATCATGTCTTACATAGAAATATGATCAAGCAGAATTCATTATGAATGAATTGATATAAATCACAAATCTGTTTTCTATTGATTGGAGGACTTGGATCAATAACAATTCTGTATAAAGATGGAGGCACAGAGCACTGTATGCCCCACCGATTTTAGGGATATTCATCACATTGATGAATCAGAAATATTTTGAAATGTCTTATTTGTTTTGCATGTAGACCTTTTCATGCAGCATTCCCCCCTTCCAACAAGTTAAAATGCGATCTTGAACATTGAGCATATGCAGAGAAAATTGTTATTCGTTATTACCGAATCAGGATGGATAAGGGTTCAGTGAGTTTAAAATGGTTCTAAATCTTTTAACATCAAGGAACAGTAGAGAAACATTTGTAATAAACTCCTCCCCCCCCCCCCCAATAAAAAAAATCAATATTTTATAGATGTAACTAGTCTTATTGATTAGAATGTTAGCCATCTTGAGCAAGATGTGATTGTCAGATCCCAGAGCATCAGTCTGTAGGGTCATTGTTTATGACGCAGTGCATTATAGCTGACATTGATTCTTATTCACACGTACAGCAGCAGGGCCCTCCACATCATCATCCAGGCTAGACCCAGCAGCACCGACCACCTCCAACAATGACGACACACCATTCACAGCCAGCCCAGTCATCCCCTTCAACTCCGCCCTCAGCCACAGGTTCCAGAAGACGGTCACTGATCAGAGTCGCCATGACGACCGTCTCCATCCACCACCACAGCCCGCAGAGGAGGAGGGGGAGGGGGAGAGGCGTGTCAGTCCTAACAGGACCCTGCTGGCTAACTTCATGGATGATGAAGACAGCAGGGGGAGCCTGGGGGATGTCGATGGGCCATCGCTGCTTGGGGATGAGGGAGGGGGAGGAGGGGATGACGGGAAGATCGACGATGAGGATGACGATGACGACGATGATGGATTCAATTTCATCCCAGCCACTCCACCCAGCAAGAAGGTATGATCACTGTTTATAATGTTTTGATTATAATAACAAAATGATAATAATTAAATGATTGTGTAGTGCATTTTCTAGATGATACAAGGTACTGTTTCTTTAATAATCTGAGAAGATGGGTAGAGGTATGTTTTCAGATGTTTTTAAAGACATGTTGTATTTGCCTATAGTGTTGTCACTCTTTCTCAGTATTTTATTCTTTCTCCTCTTACTTATTTGATGGCAGTTCAAATCAATGTTCTTTGGTGCATCGCAGTCACAACAGTCAGGGAGTGGCACCCAGAGGAGTAGACCCCCTCCTTCCCAGCCTCATAGGGGAGGGGCAGTGACGGTATTGGCAGAGGATAGCGATGAAGACTGATGATTTGGATTCTACTGTCAGCCCTGTCCCTGGGGTGAAGTCTTTCATGTTATCTCCACCATAGGGGATGGTCTGTATCGTAGCAAGCAGAGGATAGTGAAGACTGATGATTTGGGATCTTCTGTTGGCCCAACCGCACACCCCAACTGTCAGCGTTATCACCACAACAGGGGACAGTCTTTAGTACTAAAGCAGACAGATGAAGACTGATTTAAGATTTATTATCAGCTCCATCCCTAGGGGAAGGTCCGTCAAGTCATCCCCACGCTAGGGGAAGGTTTGCCATGGAGCACTACTCTAGTGGGGCATCTGTTGCAGTACTAGTAGAGGATCCTATGACAAGATGTTGTTATGGAAACATAGCTTTATCCTCAGGGAGTTAACTGTTAAAATATTTAAAAGGAATTGTTTTTTCCTATCACACACATCTCTAGCTGTCTCCACATGAAATTTGATTAGCAATATTCAAGAGATGAATATGCAACATATTATTCAAACTGCTTGAAGGACCATCAAGTTTATTTGTCAAACTTTGAAGCCTGATGAAATCAGGGCCCCGTCTTACAAAGAGTTACGATTGATCCAAATCAATCGTAACTCCTCCAGTCAATCACAAGCTTGCAGTCTCCTATCTCTTATGTACATAGTTGCGATCGATATCAATTGCAAATAAGTAGCGATTGATATCAACTCTTTGTAAGACGGGGCCCAGGTGTATAGATCATAGGGGACTCTAACTTAGGACAGCAGTAAATTTTCTCTTTCAGAAAAATCAATAATTGTTTTTGAGCTGTGGATGCCTTTCCTTTGTGATAGTAAAATCATTTTTGAAATGGGTCCAATGAGTTTCTTTCAGCATGGGATACAAAGATATCAGGGCCATGTCTTGTAAAGTGTTACTGTTGATCTAAATCGATAGTAAGTCTTCCAACCAAACACAAACACAAATCTCCTACGTTTGTCCACCATTTTGATTGATATGAATTGCAGTTGCAGTTGATTTGTATTAATCAAACGTACATGTATATCAATTGAATATATTTTAAAAAGGGATATATCTATTAAGAAGTGACCTTTCACTCATTGGTACAATGTTTGGCGATGTTCTAATATGACCCAAAGGTGTATATATCGTTCAGAGTATTTATAAATGATTTTGAAAACCTTAAACAACTGAAGTGTTATATAAAGTTATCTGAGCAGTAGCGAAGCAATGTGAATGGCCTAATTGCGAATCTCCATACAGGGACTGCTGGTGCGACCAGCTATCAACAATTATCTGTTGATACCTGAGCTGGCTATTGTTCCCAATTGCAAAATATATACTCCAAGGAAAAAGAAGGGGAAAAAACTGTTCAGTTGATTTTTAAGATCCTGTATTAGATAAGTTGTTGCTTATAGTCTCTCTGAGAGACAAACATCGGAGTTTGATGCACTTTATTGTTATCAGGTGTCTTCATATCTTGTGATGAAATAGTGTGATATTTGAATATTAAAAAATGTATTCTTTAAAACATGTTAAAGATGGACCTTCAAGTGTTGTTTTTTACTGTAAAGGCTCGTTCAGATATGACGCGGTAACTGCCAAGTTTTTGTTACGTGTGAATGAATGGCAACTGTGCGCAACAAAGGTCCTGCACGTATTTACTGAGCTCTGTGTTTACTATAAAATACAGAAATATGAACTTAATTAAAAAAAATCGCCATGTCTTTACCGCATCTTATTTGAAGGAGGCTGATGGGACTGGCTTCACATCAGTACATTAGTAAATGCTTGTCCTTATTTCCTCACAGAAGTAAAATGATCGAGTTCATAATTCATGAAAGTTGAAGGAAAATTAATCGAACATCAAAAAGTAATGAGAGTGGAAGCAAGATAAGTACAGAAAGCAAATGAAATTGGATTTTTAAATATTTTTGCTAAATCTTTGCTGGGGGGAGGGGGGGGGGGGGGCGTGGTGAGGGGGAATATCAAATTCTTAATTACCGGTATCAAAGATTACTATGCAGTGTAGCCCATTGCCCTCACAAGCAAAACACTTTTGAACTTGTGCTGTTGATAGTGTATTAATAATACAAATTATGTTGTATGGGACATTTCACAGATTCAACCGTATTCTCTTTTATTTAATGATGCAGAACACAAGCTTTGAGTGGAAGGTACTTGAAATATGTTACCCGACATCCATAACTCATTAAAAGGGGAAGTTCCATCATGAAAAAACAGAATAGTGATTTTGAGAATTGAATGGAAGGAACAAAAAGGGGGAAGTCCTTGGACATGTATGACATCACACAACTGACAATAGGAGATTCGATCTTTAATACTAGTGATCACAACTCTCAAAGATTAATTTATTTGTTTATTTTCTGTCCCATTTTCTTAAACTGACACCAAAGCATCACTGATTTTTCTGGTTCCAGTCGGGACCCTTCCTTATGGATTGATGATTCCCATTTTAAGTATAATGTAATTTCTCATCTTTTTCCCCTTTTCACGACACAATTTACAAATAAAGTTCAATGAATTAAATGATTACCACAGAAATACAGTCATAATGTGAAAAATCTCTTTTTTTATTGGCAATAAAACAATAGACATTCTTTCATAATCTGTCAATGTAATATACGCTGACAAGACTTTTTGTTAATAATCATAAAACACGTATTAAGGAGAGGTCTCTTTTCATGCCCACTTTCAAAGCAAAAATCACACAAAACCGGTCTACATCTCTCCTTACAAGCGTGTAAGTGTAGGTTTACTGTACACACAATTTGAACCTGTATAGAGTACAAATAACATTGGTCCCTTACAGATATAGCAGACCATATTTTCTCTGAACAACCAATCAGAAACAAGGTTTCAGCTGTGTCCTGTTGAAACATAGTTTCTGATTGGTTGGCAGAATATTCAATATTAAACTGGAGCATTAATGTAAGTTTACAATCCATAAGTCAATATTAAATTTCAACATATATTTATTCATGGTAGGAAAAAATGCTTGATAATTTCCTAATAAAACATATTTTAGGAAGGAACTCCCTATAACTTTGAGCCTTGAATACAATTTTCTCCTGCAAACCGAGGCCTGTCTTATCTAATGTTGCAATTGATATTCATAGCAAGTTTACAATCAATCTGAATCAAATAACATTTATTCATATAAAGACAGCCCAGTTCTATCCTAAGCTCATTAATAACTTCAAATAAAAAATTGGTATTCTATTACAGACTAAGGGTACATGTATTTATCTCTTTCTCCATCAATTCTTTGTGGATCATACTACTTTTATATTTATTTTCACCCAGCACCAAATAAATATTGCAATACATCGTATTAAATATACAAAATAACCCATTTATGACTTTACACAAATGATATATCACATAGCATGACTGGATATGGTCGAAAAAATGTTGTAATGATTGTAAATTCAAATGTTGACAATGAAAAGTTAAGTCTAGAGTTTCTGTCTTATCCTTTATGTAAATTCTTAATATATTATTAATAAAAAAAGAAAAAGAAAAGAAAACCGCATTTGAAACGTTTAATTATTTCCATAGTTCATACATACACAATTCTAGTAAGTTGAGTGTACAGCGTGTGTACAATGAATATCATTGTATAATATTGTTGCCTTCTAGCTATTTCATTCTCTGGGTAAAATATGAAGCCTGCATTCTGACTCGAGCTGAAGAAATCTTACAATCAAACACACAGCAAAAGAAACCACTTTTCCAATCTACATGAAAGAGACATTATTTGATAATGACCAGAATATACAAGAAATATTTACCCCTACCTTTCAACAAAGCCATCTAGTAATAATTAGACTTGACAAGCGTATATTGTATAATTTAGCGTGGCTTTAACTATTTTTCTTTTTTATTACCATGGATCGAATACCTAAATTGCCTCATTGAATGGAGTATACTTTCCATGAATGTGTGACAAACGTTGACCATGGCACTCCCGTGTTTGTCATATTGGTTGGAACACGGCTGGTAAAGGGTTAAATATGCAGTGAACAGATGTGATGTAGTAGAACGTTATAAGCTGTTGTCAGACTAGTCTTATGATGCTCGACATTTAAGATGGGACTGCCCCTGCAAAGTCTCTGCTCTAGCAACTTTTCTAAAACTATCTGTACTCCATGAAAATATGTAGACTTGATGCGAATATCGTCATTAACACAATACACAAGATCATGAATCCTCAATAAAAAAAACCTCAACCAAACTGTACTTTAATAATCAACTTCTGTGGGAAAGGCTAACAAACTCTGAAAGAAACCATATACAGACACAATACAAATCACACACAGATTCAAAATATACATATTGCAATATGATACACAATATGTTCACTTGAAAACAACACATCCCTCAGAATCCAGTCTAAAATGTACAGTGCTGGTGATAAAAACTGGTGAAAGAGTTGCATGATAATGATGTTCTTTCAGTGTAAAAACATAAATACATTAACATACATGTTCTTTTACTAGAGGAGTAGTTTCCCACAATGAACATGGAATGGGGAGTACAAAGAGTTGTCCCACAGCTAATCGACACCAATGCGACACCAATGCGACACACTATGCAAGAGGACAAGTTAAATGTTGTTTAACATTTATTATCTATCAAACAATAAATGGGTTATTTGGACTGGCAAAAAAAAACAAAAAAAAAACATGCCCCCCAAAAGTTGCATACACTCAAAAAGTGATAGGAGACATTTCTGTATCCTGGTTAGACATTTTTGTAAAACATTTCTGTAATCACTCGTGTATACCGCAATACAAAAAGCTATGTTTGCACATTTTCTACGACAGGAAAATAATATATGATGAAAACGAATAAAGGACTAACTTTAGAGACCCCCCCCCCCCCCCTCTCTATAACCATCTTAAAACACCCATGCACAGAAATTCAGTCATTAAACTATTGCTGTAGGTGATGAATATAATAAATACCATAAATTAGCATTGATCTGTTAATCTGAGATTCTAAAAAGACCATCATTTAACATAGAGACATGACTAGCATGCCTTTTAAAATGTATACCACATACATGTATATATGTATGATTTAGAAATAACAGGATTGCCAGGTTTAAACATTTTAATTCATTGATATCTTTGTTTATACTGGACATATTGTCTGTTTAGAGCCAGAAGGTTGTTAACAACCATCAAACGGCTTCCTGGTTCTTAACATACAATCTTTAATATAGGCCTTATCGAGCAACCTTGCTTCGCTCAGAGCTTTACAATGCCATGCTATTCTGGATGTATTCATAGAATCTTTTCAGTTTCATCGGTGCCCTTGATTTAGGCAAATTACTTCAGAGACCTTATTAGTTATGATTCCAACGGGCTGCGTTTTCAAAAGATCCATTTGGTTTTCCTCTAAACCAACCAGGATAAACCTCTTAAAAGGACACAGCTGATCCTGGTTGGCGGTAGAAAGACCCTACGGATCACTTGCAGGTCTATCGATCATGTGTTACATAGGAAACCAACTCCAGCATGTAGGTGTAGAACCAAGAGTAGGCGGGGTAATTCATTTACAAGTGACAGGATCGCTACATGAACGACGGTTACTTTCTCTATCTCTGCTTTGTTGTAACTTGCAAGCAACCTTTGACCCTCAATCGTGGGAGTGTACATTTCAATGCGAAAGCGACGTGAACGACGGTTATTTCCTCTGTCAGCAGCCCTTTGACACTCGACCACAGACAAGGATGGGTGGAAGAGTAAATAAGAAGATGAAGACGGTTACTTTCTTTACATCATCATTGTTGCAAGCGACCTCTGACCTCCGACCCTAGGCCATGGTCAGGAGAGTTCACGAACGAGGGTCACTTCCTCTTTATCAGCTCCGTTGCGCGCACCCTCCAACACTCGACCATGGGCGGGGATGAGCAGGAGTGTAGATTCTAACGCAAAAAGCGACATGAACGACGGTTACTTCCCCTTTTGTTGCCTTCCCCTTTTGTTGCCACATCTGCCCTTTGACCCTATACCATGGGTGGAGACTACAGTACATCTTTAAGCAAAAGCTACACGAACGACGGTCACTTCCTCTCTCTCTCTCTCTTTGCTCCTTCGTCTCCCTTTTGATCCAACACCATCTTGCTTCATCTCTCCTTTCTCATCTAGCTACCAAGTCTCCATAATATATATATTCTATTCACATGATACATTGTTTCAGGACTGCATACTGAGGTATCCCACTACCTGGCAGTCTGTTTATAGAGTCTACTGGGGAACCGCCCCTCCCTCCAGGGGGCGGAGGGTAGCGAGTATTATGTGTCGTCATCGCTATCGTAGCCGACCGTTGACATCAGGACGGTGATGTCGTCTGGCTTGCCACCTGTGAAGCAAATAAGATATAAAAAAGCATTAAACACCAACCTTCAAGGTGTATCTTAGTAGTATTATGATACACATGATCTGGATTTATATAATACTTGACAAGAAATATTATCTCTAAGCGCTTCACAGACATTATCAATGTGGAGACGAGGACCATCTCCACTCCCTTGGGAGTATTCCTACCACATGGTCACTGCGAGGGCAATTACGGCAATAACTAACGCAAAGGCTTTCATCATCCTACCATGTCCCCATTTCTCTCCTGGGTATGGAGTGGCAAATGTAGAGTACTGCCTTGCCACAGGACATTAGTGCCATGTCTATGATCAAACCCATGACCTTTGCATTTCAAGTTATTATTACTCCATACGGAGTGGTTAAGATAAAATCCTACAAGGCAGTAAGTCCCTTTCGCAAACTAGTAAAAACTCCATGAAACTTGGTGAGTGTTTAAAATATATCTCTCAGATATATCAAGAATGAAATTGTACAGAGTTTCTGAAACTTCTTCGTAAGAAATAAAAATCTAGCGCTGTTTTCATCTTGCTGCAGAGGGAGCTATTTTCAAATCAACAGATATCATGGCCCAATTAAATACAAATATTTTTATGCCTCCGTTACGAAGTAGCCGGAGGCATTATGTTTTCGGGTTGTCCGTCCGTCCGTACGTCCGTCCGTACGTCCGTACGTACGTACGTACGTACGTCTGTACGTACGTACGTCCCGTTCTCGTGATCGCGTTATCTGAAGAACTGGTTGATGGATTCCTGCCAAACTTTGGTCATGTATGTATCTTGTAGAGCCGATGAACTGATTAGATTTTGGGGTTACGAGGTCAAAGGTCAAAGGTCACAGGGCTCATTATGTATGCAAAACGAGCTCGTGATCGCGTTATCTGAAGAACTGGTTGATGGATTCCTGCCAAACTTTGGTCATGTATGTATCTTGTAGAGCCGATGAACTGATTAGATTTTGGGGTCACGAGGTCAAAGGTCAAAGGTCACAGGGCTCATTATGTATGCAAAACGAGCTCGTGATCGCGTTATCTGAAGAACCGATTGATGGATTCCTGCCAAACTTTGGTCATGTATGTATCTTGTAGAGCCGATGAACTGATTAGATTTTGGGGTCACGAGGTCAAAGGTCAAAGGTCACAGGGCTCATTATGTATGCAAAACGAGCTCGTGATCGCGTTATCTGAAGAACCGATTGATGGATTGCTGCCAAACTTTGGTCATGTATGTTACTTGCAAAGCCGAAAAACTGATTAGATTTTGAGGTCACGAGGTCAAAGGTCAAAGGCCACAGGGCTCATTATGTATGCAAAACAGCTTGTGATCGCGTTATCTCAAGAACCGATTGATGGATTCCTGCCAACTTAGGTCATGTATGTTTCTTGCAGAGCCAATGAACTGAGTAGATTCTTGGTTCATAAGGTCAAAGGTCATTGGCTCATTATGTATGCAAAAATAGCTTGTAATCACAATATTCTGAGAACCTGTTAATGGATTACAATTGAACTTGAATTCGAAAAATTTCTTCTGTTTTGGTTTGTAAAATTGCTCTATGACGGAGGCATCATTTTCGACTGCGCGCAGTCGAAGTTCCATCTAGTTCGAGTTTAGAAAACAAACATCAGGCATTAAAAATTTCACAATTTATTTGTTGAAAGCCCGTTTCCATTTTTTTTCATTTGGTGGGAGGTTCCTAATAAAAGACCTCTCCAATATACCACTGGATTCATGGAACTTCAGGTGTTTAGGTCTGCAAAAGGGGCGCATCATCTTTAACAACTAACCATGGTGGCTCCAAACACCTGATCAACAGTAGTATCCATGCACAAAAGAGCATCGACTCACATCCTTTTATCCAGCATTGATGCCCCTCTAGCTCTTTAGCAGATGATTATATATTTGCTATTCAAATAATGAAAATATCGCTAATGCTATATACCTGTAAACTCCATCCCGTTTTCTCTTGCATGCATCGCAAACGGTGACATGTAGGTTGGGTCGTACGCAAGGCGTCTTGCTTTTGCTGCGATGTCGTTGACCGTCTTCTGTACACTTGAGAATGAGTTATCCTATAAACAGAGAGGGTATTAAAGAGAAATGAGAGAGAGAGTTGAAAATTTAGAATTAATGAGATGCAATCAAATAAATAAATATTCAAAACATTTAATCCAATAAATATTAGGGTAACAAAAAGTGTTTTCTTGTTATTTGTCACAAATCAATTTATGAGCACCTTATCAAAAACATAAGTTGTTCTCATCCACTTGACACTAACTTCATATTCTCTTCAGCATACAAACCAAACCCAGTTCCCAAACTTACTTGAGTTTGTTGACATTTTATATTTTTCACATAATCCATGCTGTTTTCTATACATTCGTTCTGTAGAAAAGACAGCGTCCTATTTTGTAACCTATTCTTCCCAAAATTCAGATTATCTGAGATGTTGATCAAGACCAGACACGCATACTCCCTCTGTGCTCTCAGACAAGTTCATTGTAACACTTTATAGTAAACTTTGCCCTGGCAATACTCCAAACTCAACCGCATGTGGGTGGCCTGTCTTGATAAATATTGATAACTGACAAAAAACTAAGGCCTGAATTATCTGGAGTGAGTAATACAGGTTCCACAGTACATGCATGTTGGGTATGTGACTCAGGTTTGCTGGCACGAACACTTGTCAAGCCAAGTCACATCACAGGGTCTGAACAATCAGTGTTAAAGACTACACCTGCTTTAATATAAACGTAGACCCTGCCCTGTGTCAGACTCATTCAAGACACACAGCCCCCCCCCTCCCCCTTCCCTCAAAAGAAGTGGTTTAAAAAACATTAAACTTAAACCACTTTCTAAAAGCATCAATTTAATATGGGTATAAGGCAATATTAGGCATGACAACAAAAAGTTTTTTTTTCTTCTTACTATCAATTTCTTCTGGAAATAATGTTTTTTGTACATTTTTCAAAATAATGAAATATTAGTAAATGTTGCCATTGTAGTTGCCATAGTAAATTGGTGGTTTGAACTACTGGTTAGGTTTAAACCAATAGTTATCTTGAGGTGTTAGACTAGTGTCTGTGCTTGCAGGCTACTGAGACTACAGGGACACTTGGGGATACGCCCTCCTCCCCCATTGGATGGTGAAGAGAGAAAAGATGGAGGGATGGAGATAGAGAGAGAGAGAGAGAGAGAGAGAGAGAGAGAGAGAGAGAGAGAAAGCTAAGGGGAGGAAGAAATCCGCATAAAAAAAGAAGATACGATCCCTCCAACAAAACCCTACCCTAAAAATCTATGGATCTTTTCTTTTGCAAATAATCACCTCACTTCTAGTGCCAGCCCCTGCTGTACCCCCACTGTCTCTGCACTACTGACTGTAAGTCATACCAAACTTGATTTACTCGTTTCTACCAGGACTTTAACAACTATGAAGATATGACATGCTCTTGAGCAGCAATAAAGCCAGATCAAAGTTGAGACCTATATATCTCATTGTTTACCGCAACCTAGTGAACTGGAGTTATTCTTCCTATAATTCACTAATGTTTGCATTGTCTGTGAAGTTTATTAGATCAACAGATATGGAACTTCTTCAAGGAAAAAACTCATGGACTTCAACTTTCTCTCCTTAGCATTCACCATGTTCTTTCTGGTCTTATTTCAACTACATTTATCCGGTTAAATCCAGTTATTTATCTTTTTGTTATTAAGATGTTCTCAAGTATGGGAAGTGGACAATGTAATGTAAATAGCGAAGACTATATTTCCTTTGTCTTTCTCATCATTACATAACTTTAAAGGTAAAGACCAGTTATGGTCATGCGATTGCATTGTGAAAGAAACGTTGTGGAATCGATCAGAAAAGGTTGATCATCTAGCATCTAGCATCTGCAAGGTTCTGGAATCATCAAAATGATAAGAAATTTGGCCCATTCTTCGTAAAGTTACAAGCACTATACACAGAAATATGTATATGGGACTACCCTATATCTCTCACAGACCATGAGAGAAACAAATTTACCAAATATATGAATTAGTAGGCAGTTTCCCGGCAAATTTTTTATCATTATGTATTAGTCAAAACATATTCTTTCACATGATTGGTAATGAGAGCTTCCATTTCATTTTTTGAAATTGGGGCATTTCCAATACTGGTCTTTACCTTTAACTACATCTAAACACTTGCACTGAAATTTTCTGGTAATAATGTATCCATAGTACTACTTCATATTTAATTCTTGTTTGTGTTTCAGTACTTCTGGCTCAAAACCATTCCCCCTTCCTTTTCTTACTTCAACTCTTCCTATTCCATCCATTACATCCTAAACACGTCCCCCTTTTAATTCCTTCCCCTTTCATCAGAAAATAGCTTTATTGCACCCATTTCCACCTATAAATGTCTTGTCTCTAAATCTCACCGAGTGACCATTGAAAGTCAGGCATTCCTTTTAAGGAGTTTACACAATACTTCAAGGGTTATTTATAACCCTGCGATGTTCTACTGTGCAAAGCTGAATAACAAATGGAGAAGGTCCGGAGTCAACAATGCTTTCACAGAATTCATTCAGGGTATCACCTTCATGCCAAGGCAATGCCTATCAGAGCATGCGTTGCTATTTGGACTAGGCAATACTTCGGCCATCGATGACAGCTTACAATACACTTTTTTCTTCTTCTCATGGTTACATTGAGATTGTATACCAAGGAGATACTGATTATACAGAACAAATACAATACAGTGTACTTGCAAACAATATTGACGTGATGCGATTGTCTAGTATGAATATAACTCAGTACTCAGATATACCTTTAAAAGAATGAGAAGTTTAGCCCTTATTTTACCTCTGAGGAAAAGAAATAATATCTTGTGTATGTATTGTGAGGCATTTTCAGGTTCTATTTCCCATTGCTTACATGCATCCTGATAAATACAGCCATTATAAAAACTAAAAAGCTATAATTAACATCTGAAACATAATGTTCATGCAATGCTACTGTCTGTAGGATAGAGGCAGCCAGACTGCCAGAGCATTACAAACCTGAATCAATTAGGTTCCCTACATCGAATCGCAATCCCAGCATACTGTACGTGCCCTTGTTTATCTCATTAGCACCTACACTGTAGCTCTTTTAAATTCATTTCTCTCATCCCACGCACATTTTTTCCCTCTCTCAATCCCATGCTAGTTGCTACCTGGATGCCCATCGATTGGGGAAGCGTTGGCCAGAACCAATCAAGTAGCTGACATTCCTAGAGGGTCAATACTACAGAGGCCTGGAATGGACTCCTACATGTATAGCAGTGTGTCGGCGGCGGCGGCGGAGGAGGAGGGGGGGGGGGGGGGGAGGAGGGGGGTTTACTGAAACGATTTTGGGTGATACATGTACATGTAGTAGGAGGTGGGAAATTTACAAAAACAAATTCTGCTGACAGTTTAGCTAGCTGCCTCTTTTACATGCTGGCAGTTTTTTCCCTTACACAGAAAACTCAGCACAACGTCAACTAATTGGGCCTGACGACACGCTCTCAACAAACAATTCAAACTGCTTTAGCGCGACACGTACCTTAATATTAAGCATGTTCTCTCACCTTTTATTATCATTTACAGATGTACACCGGCCCAGCATCCGCCCATGAGTACGTGCTCCGAGTTAAATGTCAGGCAATGAACCCCTGGCATTGTGGGTGTATAAACTAGAGCTATGGACTAGTTTTCTATATCAGTAACTTCAATATTTATTACAGTTGACATACCTGAGCCAGACAGTTGCAATGATATTCTATCTCGAAATACTTTGTGTACCGTGTGCAAAGATCAACAAGGGGGTCATAAACTGAGTAAAATAACCTTTTTGTTCAAGAGAGCTCATTTCTAATTTCCATAATTGTGAAGGTGAAGTCGGATTGCTCAGTGAAATTTACATGCCAATTTGTATTTTTTTTAAAACCAGAATATCTTTTTTTCCTTCTAGTTTCCATTTCTTAAACAAACTTTCGAGAGCAAGATCACTTTCCAAACCCATGCATTTGTCAAATGCTTTAAAATGTACATACATAAAATGAGCATCTAATTTCATGCTCGTAAATGCATATTTTTCATGGGAATCTTGTTTCAAGTTAGGGTTCATGTTGATTTTACAGGTTAATGTGCCCCATATGTATTTTTAAACCCTATGGTATATTTGTTACATGTGTTTAGCTGCTCAAGTACATACGGAAATCAAAAAGGAAATAAGATAATTTTCTTTCCATGACGGTCAGCAGAGCGTAATCTATTTCACAGAAATGACAGATCTAGCTCATGGTTTTCCTTTTTCAAGAAGTGTGTTCAGATACATGTGAGAATTTCAACTGAGTACATGTACATACCATGCTGCACATTAGCACAATGTTATAAAAAGCATCAGCACTCGTTAGACATGCCGTAATTTGTGAATTCTGTGTCTTCAGTGCTTCCCCACACCTCCCCAAAGAGAGAAAGAAAAGGATATTGGGCCAAGGGCACTTTCCTCCCATAACTCAAAAACACTCCACTAAAAAAAAAATAGCATTCCGGTAAGTATTGTAAAAAGAGCCCACTATGCTGTTATATATGAATACTTTGTCTTCAGTGCCCCCCCCCCCACCTCATCAAAGAGAGAGGGGGAAAAAGGGCCAAGGGCAGTTTCCTCCCACAACTAAAAAAAACAATCCACTATAACAGAAAAACACTAGCACAATTTCTTTCTCCAAGAGCCCTCATTAAATATAATTGTCAAAACGTAGAAATCAATCCATATGTCCTTTGAATGTATTTCATAAGGTAAAATTACTATAATCCGCAGTCAGGTCTCGTCTGGCCTATAAAAAGTGGCCATCCAAAATTGTAATACCCCTGTAATGAGTTCTTTCATTTGGTGTTGGCCTCAACTACTTTTAACATGTCATATTTATTATAATTTAACAACTTGTAATCATTACATTAGAAAGACCATAATGTCAGACACAAAGTCTCCACAGCCTCTATCCTTTTCAATATAACCCATCATTAATGAGATCTCCACAGATCGCTGATTAGCTGACATGCAT